AGAAAACGAGCCTTGAACGCTGCACACCAACAGCCCTATGGCACGAACCTTCTGCCAAACTCCAAAATTTGAAAACCCTACACAGCCAAGCAACAACTCCGGACGTTTTTGTCTAAGGAAAGCCCAGGTAGAGGAGCTGCGTGTCGGCTCCCCAGCGACGAGGTTTGATAATCGTGGGTCAGCTCAGCACCACAGGAAGCGGAATACATAGTATAGAGTTGTAGCAAGCCGACTAGCCACACGCCAGGTTTCCCTACTTAGAGGCTCATGGGACTTAGTAACTAGGGTTATAAATAAGGTAACTATACTTATAACCCCAATTACGGTACTTATAACCTTACTTAGTCCCATGATCCTCCAAGTAACCCCAACCTTGAACCTGGACGCGGGTGCGAATCTTCAGCAGGGCTGGAGCCACTCTAAGGTCAGTCGGGACGAGACGCTGTTCTCGGAGAGTCGTCAGGCTGCTTGGCTGTTTTGTTTGGATTGTAGTAAAGGGAACTCCAGAAAGTTGGAATATGGATTCATGGTAGGATCCCCTATAATTTACCTTAAAGGGGTTACGATAATGATATTCCAACTTTCTGGCTTCTACTGTAAGGGTTTAGGGTGGGTTTAAGGTTCGGGATTTGGGATTGTAGAGTTTGCACCACAGCGATGGTGTTGGATTTTATTTGGGGGGAGGTGTTTGGATATGTGATCTGAACGCGCCGGCGCAGACCGCCGAACCCTCCCCTGCATCCCTGGAGCCAGGGGCAAGCCAAATGTGTAAACCGGTCGATTTATTAGATTTAGAATGCCTGTAGTTAAACATATTATCTTTAACCAGCAGCATGGGGTTGTGCAGGGAGGATGCAGTTCAGGCGTGGATATTTGCTGGTGGTGCAGGGTTGAAAGCGATGTCGTCCTGCTCCCCGCCTCGATATCGTTCAGGTTCTTGTCACGTTTGGGGGCTTGTTTCGGTTGCGACTCGATTACCCGAAGCCGTTGAAAGATGATGAGACCAATGTCCCACACCCTAGAGTCTTAGAGCCAGAGAGTTAAGGCCATTGAGGGGAAGACTCCGAAACTCGTGTTTCCGGGCACGCCAACCATGTCTCAGGCATTGGCCACGGAGGCCGGGTGTGGACCTCCTGTTGTGCATTCCCTTTGCGGCGTGTTGCAAGGGAGGAGTAGTTCTTTAATCAGGGTTTCCTTTAGGGTGATGTTTATAGGTGTGACGCCTCCTTTGGGGTTTAAAAGCGACAGCGATTTAGAGAACTATTCAGAGGTAGAGGAATCAGAGGTCTTGTGAAAGAGATGTAGTCTCAGCAACAATGGTGTGGATACTGACGCTGCAAGTTTTGCGCATATTGGAATGATGTGGACAAAGGCAACGAGACTAACCAGCATGTTAACAAAATGGCCAACAAAGACCACAATGGAGGAAAGTACTGGGCTTGAAGGATGGAGTCATCGGTTAGGTTTCAGGTGCGTCTGGGCTTCCTTCCCACAAGCGAGTTCTGCTTCAAACCATGGAGAATTCATTTTGACTCATGGTTGCATATACTCCACTCCGCCATCGCTCCGAGTATCCTTCCGATCAGCCACATGAAGTTTCGGGTGCCAAAGTGCTGACAACGCTCGTTTCGTGCTCATGTGAGTCCACAAACACCAAGCCCCAATATATCCCGTTTCCTAGTTATACATGTGTATGTGTGTATTCAGGTCCCCGGAAGGACTTTGTTCCTACCTCTTCAGATACATCAGGGAATACTATTCCTGACTGTTCGTCGCACCTGCTCTAACCCCAAACGCAAAACCTCCCAAACCCTAAAACACTTGGAACCAAACCCACTTACACCCTGAATCCTACATCGTAAGCGCTCAAAGCCCTGAACCCTGAACTTGAAACCCTAAACCCAAATTACTAATGTAGGGGCCTTAAGGTCAGAATAGGGTTTGGGGGTGTATTATACTAAAATGATAACAAGGAACCTTCAGAGCCCTATTCTAATTATTGAGGCCCCTCTAGTATAGTACCCTTATAGTATCCCTTTATAGTAAGCCCTGTAAGGAACCCCTTTAAAGGAATCCCCATGCTAATACCCTCTGCCCCTATAAACTATATTATAACAGTATCCTTATAGTACCCTTTTAGTATCCTTATAGTATCCTAATAGTATCAGTACCCGTATAGTATTCCTTTAAGGAGCCCATACTCACCGCTGCAGGAGCAGCTCTCCGCCGAGCTGCGGGCGGCCTCGCGCGCAGCGCGCTCCGCCGAAGCGGATGCGGCGGGGGGCCCTCCGAGAGTCCCCTACGGTTTAGGGCCGTTTAGGCTTTGGCACAAGGGGTTCAGGGTTTAGGATCCGACATCCAGGCGGGCAAATACAAGTCTGTGCAAAAAGGATTTAGGGTTTTGGTTTTAGGGCCGTTTAGGGTTTAGCAAAGGGGGGTTCAGGGTTTAGGATTTCGGGTTGTGGGTTTAGGGTCTGGGTTTTAGTAAAGGGGGTTTTAGGGTTTAGGATTTGGGGTTTGGGGTTTAGGATTTAGGGTTTAGTCGGTTTAGGATCTACATAGCCGTGTTCAGGGATTGGGGTTAAGGATGATGGTGAAGATGGTACACCAGATGATTGGTTCGAACGGGCATTTGCCTTCTTTGCTTGGCGATGTCGTGTGCACACCATGAGATGGGCGATGCGTGTTGTGGAGCCCAGGTGCCAGGCTTGTTGTCCAGCTGATTTTCGCACCCTATCCCCCAAGAACAGGACCTCGACCTCAAGGTGCGCGGGTCGCTACGTATTCGCAGGCTTGGAAATCTTGCATCTGCGGTTGCCATCGTACAGATGGCTACGTTGATAATAGCCCGACAGGTAGCGACCACATCCACGCTATTGGTTCGGGCCGTTGGGACGGCGATGCTCTCCTTTGTTTTGGACCGACACAAGAAATGCCGCACCTTGGGCACGGACGCGTCTGCAACGGTGCACATTCTCGTGAAACCCTGGTGTGCTTGATGTGAAATCAAGGCGGCATGTCCTCCTCTGACGAGCGCACTCTACTGCCAGCAGAGTACTCGGGCAGGGTTCGGCCGGCGGATTTTGCATCATCCTGGACCTAGAACCCTAAAACCTACACCCTAATTCCGTGGAATCCCCTAAGACCCGAAACGCCCTGAAACCCAAAACTCTCTAAGCCCAAAGCCCTAAACCCTTAAAGCCAAAGCCCGAAACGAGCCAAGAAGTGCTAAACTTCTGGTGCTCAGGCCTCCGCCAGAAGGGAGGCGCAAATCAGTCGGGTTTGGGAGGGTTTAGGGCTTCAGGGTTTCGGGTTTAGGGCTTTAGGGTTTAGGGCTTGAGGGTTTAGGGTTTATGAGCGGAACTGAGCTTCAGAGTGTGGGCGGACTTGCTGGCTGACACTGACAGCCCAGCTGCAAAAGGGTTTATGATCAGGGCTTAGGGTCAAGGGCTCTGCAATTCAGCCGTTTAGGGACAAATAGTTTGAAAGGTGCTTATCGGGTGTAGGGTTTCATGGTTTCAGGGTTGACTTGAGTTGAGGTTTTAGGATTCAGGCAAAAGGCTGTAATCGTTTTAGGCTGGTAGGGTTCATCTACTTATCTACTTATGCCCCAAGAACCTCGCCCAATGACAGTTTGCTTCGCAACCTCTTTTGCCGGAATAGCAGGTGACGGAGCCTGTCACCGTACATGTTTCCAGAAACACCAGACTTGCGTATTTCAGCAAGGTTCCCTAACTTAAACTGATGCCCCCAAGCAAAGGACCCTTGCGATTAATGGAAAGGTGTCCAAATTCAAAGTTTACAGGCACCTTCCAAAAGTTATCACGTTCCTACAAACACGCTTTGTAGCTTCAGTGGTTTGCTCTTGGAAGGCTTCTGCCACTGCTCTGTCAGCGCGCGACGGCTTAGCCCGTTGACATCTCAGTTGACAGGAGCAGTGATGCAAACATTGGCCATATCTCGAAGATGATGCCTACCCACTGTCCTCATAACTTCCAGACCTCATAACACTTTCGTGGCCTGACTAGCCAACTCTGTCACCACCAATCACCACCACCATGATTACGTCCGGCTCCCCTTCCTCATCTCCTTCATCTTACACCGTCAAAAGCACGACAACTAAGCACACCAGGACTGCGACGACTACGGCTGCTGTTGCTGCTGCTGCTGCTGTTGCTGCTGCTGCTGCTTCTACTGCTGCTGCTGGCACGACAACTGTGGCAATGGCACCGCGACTACTACAAGTACTCTGGCTGCTGTTGCTGCTCCGGCCGTTGCTATTGGCGCTTCTTCTTTCTGCTGGATTCGCTCTCGCTCTTTCCATGGCTGTCGCTGCTGCTCTTGCCCTTGCCTCTTGCTCCACCTTCAAGAATACATTCATTGTCCATGCCATGGGCCACTGCTGCAGCACTGTTGCTCGCTGTATTTAAACGCCACGAAACTATCATCAAGTTCTTGGGAGCTTCAGAAAACAAGGCACCGCTGATGCAGACTCTAGACAGTAGAATCCTGGCCATAAGCGCGCCTAAATCAGATACCCCGCATCTAGAGAAGCTCCCCGATTACCTACAGGCCATGTGGGAGCTTTCGAAAATAGGGGACCCTAATATAGCGCCCTAAATAGTAGGATTCTTATTACAAGGACCCCAAAATAAGGTACCCCGAATTTCCGGAAACTCCCATGTGAACTTCGCACTTGTAGGAATGATTGCCCAGGAGAAGTCGAAGCAGCCGCTGCCTTATCGCTCGACTTGCTGCCGAGTTTCCTTTGGGGGGACGTGGGCCTTTCTTTTCGGTGTCCTACCGGTGCAGCTTCTCCTTCTCATTAGGGATAAAGTTGGAGGCCCCCCTTCACACATTCGTAATGGTACGTACGTTATTTCTGGCACTGGTGCTTGGCTTATACTCTGCTACTCGGAATGCATGCAGGTCGAGCACTCATGCCTGGCATGCGAGTTCGGCTCGAAGTCTAGAGAAACTCTACTGCCCGCCCTGGCAAGATGAAGCGTGACGGCGACAAGGCCAGCATTCAAGTTGCCCTTGCATCAGGGACGGTGCTGCAGGTGGCAACTGCCTTGGACGCCATGGTGGCGGAGATTTCAGATCTTGTGTTGGAGAGGGCGGAGTTAAAGGGAGCGCTTCGACTCGCCATCCAAGGCCGCCTTCTAAAGCCTGCTCAGACGCTAGCAGCTGCTGGCGTTCGTCACGGGGACACCTTGTCTGCAGTGGTTGTGCCCCGCTTCCGGCTATTTAGCACAGATTCGGCCTTCGCCGTGTTAAAGGCCGACGGGAGCGTCGTTGCCTGGGGAAAGGGCGACGCAGGAGGCTACATTCCCGACGAGATTGAGGCGGATCTGGCAGGTGATGTTCTAGAAGTGTTTGCGAACAACAGCTCATTTGCAGCAATGAAGACAGACGGAAGTGTGGTCGTATGGGGTGCGGCCGAAACCGGTGGCGAGGTGCCCGTAGCCAAGCGGGAGCTCTTAAAGACTGGTGTCAAGCAGGTTTTCGCGACGTTCCGGGCCTTCGCTGTGCTCAAGGAGGATGGGAGTGTCGTGTGCTGGGGGCTATCTGAATCTGGCGGCGATGCTTCACGCGTGTCCGAGCAGCTGCGCAGTGGCGTGGTAGACCTACGTGCCGCTGGCCGTTCCTTCGCGGCTCTCAAGGAAGACGGGAGCGTGCTCTCCTGGGGGGCGGTTGATTCGAGAGGAGTCCAGCATGAGTTGCAGGGATGTTGCAGGCTCTTTGCAAACAGAGAGGCTTTCGCGGCCTTAAAGACAGGTGGCAAGTTGATCACTTGGGGGGACCCAGACCGTGGAGGTGAGAGCTCTGCAGTGCGAGGGAAGCTCGAGAGGGATGTGGAGGAAGTGTTCGCAAGCCAATACTCTCGGGCTTTTGCTGCTTTGAAGACCAACGGTGAGCTGGTCATTTGGGGTGGAACAGGTCTGGACCACTCTGGTGCGGGAGGGCAGTTCGGTGGCGACGCGAAGGCCGTGAGCGAGCAGCTGCAGAGCGGTGTGAAGGAGGTCTTTTGCAACACTCGTGCTTTTGCGGCTCTGAAGTCCAACGGTGACGTCGTCACATGGGGTCATCCACGCTACGGGGGAGATTGCGCAAATGTCCAGGAGGAGTTGAGAAATGTTCGGACAATCTTTCCGAACCCGCGTTTGTTTGCTGCCCTGAGAAGTGATGGAAGCCTGATTACTTGGGGCCGGGCATCGTCCGGCGGAGACTCTTCCACTGTGAAGGCGCAGTTGCGCTCCGGTGTGCAGTCTGCTGTGGCAAACAAGTACACATGGAGCGGTTGTTTATACGATGGCTGCGATGACTTTGCTTTTGCTGCCTTGAAGACCGGCGGAGAGGTTGTGACCTGGGGTCCGTTGGCGCGGGGCGGTGGGGGCAATGAAGAAGTGAAGGAGCAGCTGCAAAGTGGCGTTTTGGAGATTTGTGCCACTTCGTCTGCTTTTGCAGCTGTAAAGCTTCACGATGTGGTGACCTGGGGCGACATCTCGATGCCCCGCGACGTGCGAGCAAAGTTGCTGGACGAGGCACCGAAAGGCACAGGAAAGCTCACTTCCAAAGGCAGGTTCATGCTGGACGCCGGAAAAGGCAAAGGCGAATTCGGCCCGAAAGGACCATGGAAAGGCACAACAGGAGCATTCATGGACGCAGCTTGGAAGGGAAAAGGCAAGGTTGGGATGCGAGAACTCAGTGAGGACGATAGGCTCGGCGCACGTGCCAGGAGCCGAACACCAGCAAACCGGTCCTCCAAGCTTGAGTAGGCCTGGCAGATATGAAGACTTCGCCTGAAGCCCAAACGATGGCAGATTTGGGACTCTGGTGCGCAAGGAAGACGGACGTCAAAGGGCCTTGAGTCAACTTGGGAGTTTCCGGGGCCCAGGTTCTAAAATATAAACAGGGGCCTTAATAAGGGCTTTGGGGTCCATTCTACGATCATTATAACACGCAGCGCGCCCAAAATGGTGTTGGTATGAATTTAGGCCCCTATATTACTGCAGAAGTTGCTTATTTCTCAAAGATGCATCCCTAAACCCTAAACCCTAAGCCCAAGTCCCAGGTGAAGGCAGCCTTTGAGCAGCGACGCGAGCAGCAAGTTACAGAGGCAGCCCCGGTGTGGTGTGGGCTTCGGCAGTTGTAGAAATGGTTTTTTGTGTTAATACACTGTTCTATAAGGCTATTGGGGGGCATAATGATGCCGTCTTTCCAGAGTCTTGGAAGGGTTGTATGAAAGGGGTCTGTAAGAGCTGCATTGGGTTATATAGCGGTCTGACAGGTTTAGGGAGTCTTCTGAGTGTGATCTTTGTCTACTTTGCACGGTTTTGCATGTCCCTTGCATTCCCGTCGAGATGCGAGGCAGTAAAGAATACTTGTCGCAAGTTGGGTCTGTGATAGCTGCGTCCTTAGGGATTCCTGTCTCACTGTTCTCGCTGGTGAACCGAACTGTGGGCCGGATTCTGAGTCTATAGCAGAAGCCCAAAAGTTGCAAACCCAGCAGCCTCAACCATTTACGAGTAACGCAGGGGTATTCCAGCACTATTTGTCCTTTATCAGGTTTCCAGCTTTTTGGGGTTTGCTATAGGTTGTTTATTTGTCTGCTTGTGAGCCTGCTGTCAATGGGGCATGCCCTACCGGGTTGAGCACTTGGTGTTGCCTATCTTGTTACCCCAGTTGACAGCCTGTCGCGAGGAGCGTGCGACTTTGTGCACCGTCAATTGCTTTGTCTGCAAAGCTCGCGAAAGATTGACTGAGTGTAAGCATCAAAAGCAGCAAACGACGGATGCATGCGAAAGAAGTGAGCTGAAACCTAAAAGCAAAGCTCAAAGCCCTGAGCTGTAGGCCCGACACACCAGTAACGTGAGCTCCCAAGCTGTCGAAGGTTTCAGGGTTTAGGGTTTATCGGGTTTAGGGTTTATAATTTGCAGCAGGGTTTAGGGTTCATAGTGTTTAGGGTGGCAGGTGCTGGCAAAGTTGGAAGGCGAGCACTTCCGCTTGTCCGTTGAAGCCGCGCAAGAGGCCAGCAGTGAGTTGTCGTTGAATCTCAGTCGCCGACCGGGTATCTATCCCAAACCTTAAGGAGCACGAACACCTCAACCGGATGTAGAACCTTGTTTTGTAGACCCTAGGGGCCGTTATAGCTTCCCGCGCCTTTTTATCTATGGCCATGGCTTGGCTCAACAAGCCGTATAAACTAAGACCGCTTAGATTCAACCCCGAAACCCCTAAACCTCTCAAAGCTGTGCACGACGAGGCGAAGCGCCGGCAGGTTGCAGAGGAAGAGGACTCAGGGTGCGGGGTTTAGGGTTCAGGGTTGGGCGACGACGGAGCATGGTTTAGAGTGTGAATAGGGGCGTTTCAATGCCGTGCATTGAAAGACTTTGTATCCTTGTGAGAAACCGTGCCTATCAGCCGGAAGCAGCAGGATACAACCGTCGACTTCTTCCTCGCAGCTCGCAAGCCTTTCCAGGTACTTGATTACTTACACACGCGGTAAGCCCGTGGAGGTCTAGAGTTTGGCAGATCATCGTAAGCGCGTATGGGCCTAAGATGGACACAGCTCATGGAACCGAAGTTCCAAACCCTAACCCCGAAGCCCCGAACCTTGAACCCAGTCTAAAGAATCAATCCGAAGCCCTCGGCCCTCGGCCCTTCAGCTGTCACTGAGACTGGTGGGCCGGAAGCCTTGCTTGCCTTGTGCCAGTGCGAGAGTCGAATCTCACATTCTCAACCCCGGCGACCCCCAAGCTCTGACCATCCTAAACCGAGTCTAAGCACGACCTACAGCCATACATCCTGAACCCAGCCCTGAAGCCCGAAGCGCTGATCCCTACACACTAAAGCGCTGCGAACCCAACACAAAAGCCCTGCAACTTCAAAGTCCAAAACCCCAACTTCACAGAGTCCAGCCGCCGAGCCACCGAGCCGCCGAGCCGAAGCAGGCGACGGAGCTGCGAACAAAGTTGGACAGCATGGGCCCTGGAGCGAATCATCCAGCACACAGCGAGTGGGAGCGACTGAGACTGAGTTTCTCGTGTCCTGCTCGAGATAGGTAGCAACCACAGATGGGTATGTAGAGAGATAGATGATAGATGGGTATGCGTATGCCAATAGTCTGAGGTGCCCTTTCGGCGGTTGGTGGTCTCAGTCTCCGCCCCCACAAATAAAAGAACGTCAACTCCAGGTCTTCGCAGCTTGCTGGCCCGGCGCTGAGCAGCCTCTGGGAGTCTTGTGGGCCTCTCATATTGGTTTGGTCAGTTCGACTCCTAAAAAAACTCAGTATCCCGGAATCAACCAAAGATCTCGCAGTAAGGATCCCCCTCACAATCCAAGAAGATATCATTGAATATTGAAGATATCCCTTAATAGAGGGGTTTGCGAGTCTCTGGGCTGCTGGAGGTGTTTTTTTGCTGTTTGGGCTCCGTTGCGAGGCCGCCCAAGTGGAGGAGGCCGAGGAGGAGAAGGCTGGGGAAACTGTTTCAAAATTGAGAGCTCTCTTGCTGTATTAAGGCGCTTCTAGGAGAACTCTTGTAGCGAGCCTTACCGTAGTCCTTATGCCAGGTTCGGCCCGACTTAGCAGTTTCTTGTGGGATTTACCTTCAAGCTAGAGGTTGTGTCAGGTTTTTTGGTGTACAAACTGACGTTAAATTAAAGTACAGAGACATCCTCCTCAAGTAAGGGCTCTCTGGCAGGGATTTGCTGGGGGACTGGTGGGGCTGTTGGTCCCTAAGGATTTCAGGCTGAGCGACGCATAGGTCTCAGCTACAATTGGCGCATGGGCCCCGGGCTGTCGTCTAGTAGATATCGACTTGTTGGAGCTGAAACTTCCACGTTGCGGGGGTTTGTTTCCCTTCGAAGCAGATGACTCCAAGGCGGCAAGGAAATGGCATGACCCTCAACCCTAAACCTTAATGCCACGCCGGCATATCTGCTTTTCTGCACTCTGCCCTTCCTCAACTCAACGCCTCGCTCAAACGATGCCAAAATGGGAGTTTGCGACAATTAAGGGTACCTTATTCGGGGGTTCTTATAATAGGGATCCGACTATTTAGGAATTTAGGGTACTATATTAGGGTCCCCTATTTCCGGAACTCCCAAATGTCGGCCTCAGTGTAAACCGCTACCCGAGAGCAACCTGCCGAGACCTGAAGACCCCAAGCATGCCATTAGCTGGCGAAGCCCATTCGGATGGACTTCGTGGTTTTAAGTTCGAAAGTAGATGCAGCGTAGTGTTCTTGTTACCTTTGGTTAGTAGAGAATGGACGAGAGGTAGTAATGGTAGTTATAATGATGGTACCTCATTCCTCCATTCCCTTTCTGACCAAAGTTAAGTCTTTTGGTACTTTAAAGCTGGGTACCCCTCAACACCCTAAGGCAGAAGCAAGCTGTTCACTAATTCTCCTTGTGAACTTGCCAGCGTAGCCTGCCATATCGAAACCAAGGGCCCCCTGTCCTTTTATGACGCTCAGAATCTCGAACCACGCCTTGTCTCAAGCCTCAAAACCCCTTTGTTGTAGGCCGGGCGGCATCCACCTGAAATGGTGGAGGTTGGCATCCTTACGGAAACCGAAGGCGCGATTCATCGGCAGTTCCGGGTTGCCTCGAAAGATGCTGGTTCTGTTAATGTTGTTTGTGCTATGCAGAATTCTGGGCCAGTATTCTCTATACGGTGTGGTAAAACGATGTAAAACGGTGGTTTGTCTATTTGAAACTGGAGTTGGAGTCAAGGGACTTGGCTACTGTTCCCGCTAGGCACACCCGGCCGGCGCACACCCTGGTTCCACGCATCGCGGTGGACATGTTCGACTTGACTCGCGTACTTTCCGCAGGCCCGCTGTGGTCACGCCCCGAATTCAATTCGTGTTCCCGCCACAGTCCTGTGCCATTTTTGGCCGTAATTAAGCTCGTTCGAAGTCTGTACATTCCTGAATTCGCAAAGATTGAAATCTTGCGCCCGCCACAGCACCGCATGTACTTTGGGGCCTGAATGATCTTCCCGCAATGGTCTCGTTTGTGTCCACCTCTCGAAATCGTTTTTGCACGTGCAGTCCTGTGCAGATTTTTGCTGCGACTGCTGTTTCCGCCTCCGCTGCAGTTCCCTGCACATCATGTGTTCTCGCCACAGCGCTGCGTGTTCTGGGATGCCGGTCGGCGTGCTAGCGCCACGGAGCTCTTACTGTATGGATTTTCAAGCTTCGGGGCACTGTTTTCTTGGATTTTCTGTTGGTGACGCTCGCGGAAGCTATACAGATTTCATGCCGGGGCTGAAACTCTAAACGCCCTAAGCCCTGTCGAAACCGAAGCTATTAAACCTTGGACCTGTTCTATTGAAATCCGTCAGCGCCGTCAACCTAACACCCGCAGAGAACCCTGAAAGGTGAAAGTCCGCAGGCACGATATCCAGTCCGTCTGTGTTTCTGGGTAACTCCAAGGCGTGTGCCCATGTTTTCCCCCACGCGAAACAGGTGGGGTAGTGTAGGCCCGATAAGACCAGATGTCGCTTGGACAACGGGGCGCCATTGTAACTCAAAAGAGTTTAAAGTCTGACACCTAAACCCCCAAACTCTAAGACGGCCCATACTCTACCAAACTGGGAAAGCACCACAAACTATCCGATGAAATGGAACGCTACGAAGCCTTGGAGCCTTGCAAAACAACACGAAACAAGGCGAACTCCTGAACAGGGTTTAGGATTTAGGGTTTCGTCGGCAGGCGATTGCACAAGTCCTGATGCAAAAAGTTCCAAAACTGCAATAAAATCCTATAAGCCGGCGAAAACCCAAAACCTCAACACTTTGGAGGCGATTCGGTTCCTTCCCCTGGCCGCGAGGCCCCACCAAGCTAACCTCGGCTGCTTAGATGGTCAGAGACCCTAGTAGATTTGGCAGAGGGTTCGACGTGTTTTTTCTTGGTCGAGTTTGATAAGGAGTTTCTGGATGCCACGGCTACTCGGGGACGGATTGTTGGTGGGTCCTTACATGGACGATCTACTACTCAGGGTTCCCTCCCCTCTTCTGCGGTAACCCCCCCACATGGGTTTCAAGTTTTCAGGTTTTCGGTTGTTTAACGCCTTGGCCTCGGTTCTGAGAAGGCACATGCGGATTTTGGGGTTGAGCTGCATGTGTCACGTGGTTGCTGCCCATTTGCTCAGTGTTAAGATATTACCGTTTCCTGACAATGCTGATGATGCTGCTTCCGCTGTTGCTTGCGACAGATAATCAGAATTGTGTTTATCACCGACGCTGCTGGCATGGTTCTTCTCCTTGTGAGAAATGTTGCTTTCTTTGCAGTTCGACCTCCTGGAGAGCCCAAGACCCCAATACTGACTAGCATGCCTCAAATCCTCATCCGTTTCTTTGTATGATGCATGCAACCCTAAACCCAAAACCCTATAAACCTTAAGCCTTGAACCCTAAACCCTAAACATTAACCCTGAAGTGCGTAAAGGCCGATGCAAGCACGTACCCTAAAGCGACACTACGTCACTACGTCCAAAAATGGTGTGATGTAGTGTTACTAGAAGATACTGATCACATAATATACTATTATATACTATCATATACCATAGTATGCCATTATATACTGTTATATAGTATACTCGACTATAATATACTATTATAAGTTATAGCATACTATAATATACTATAATATGCTATAATATACGATTATATATTATAGTATACTATCATATACGATCACCTACAACAAAGCAGCACATTCTTCGAGGCGCTGCGGTTCCGCCTCGCCGAAGCCGAGGGCCGACTGCGCCTCTGCCGCAGCTTTGGAAGGGTATCGGAAAATAGGGTTTGTTAGGGTCGTTTAGGGTCTTTGAGGGTTTTAGGTATTTTTTTGGGTGGTTTTTAAGGTTTTTAAGGTCTTTATATAAGGTATTTTAAGGTCTTTTCAGGTCTCTAAGATTTTTTAAAATGGTGTTTAAGGTTTTGGGGTGGTTTTTGACGTTTTCGGGGTCTTTTAGGGTTGAGGGTCTCGAGGGGGATCTACGAGTTTTAAGTCGTGTCTCAGGGTTTGTAATCAGTGGTGTCTCATAGGAGCATTTCTGGAGGGTCTCAGAGAGACGTCTGTGGAGTTTTAGGAAGGTTTCGTAGGGTTCTCATGGGTGTTGTAAGGGTTGTAAGGAATAGTTACAGGATCAGAGGGTGCAAGGGCTCTGACCGCAAGAAGCTTCTGTCAAAACAGGTGCTCTTAAGGAACCGAACGCCCCCAAGCAAGGACCGGTTCAGCGAGGTCCCGAACCCTAAGTCGCCAAATGGGAGTTTCCTAAAATTAGGGGTACCTTATTTTGGGGTCCTTATAATAGGATCCTACTATTTAGGGTACTAAGCTAAGGTCCGAACCCCCCAAATCGCCCTGCACGCAGGATGGGCCACATGGATACCTCGGCCACCCAGTTGGAGCTTCTTGGCTTCCGGCAGATCAGCAGGGAGTTCCTGTAATGTAGGGGCCTGAATCAGTAGAATGGGGTCTTGGGGTATACTGTACTATAATTACAATAAGGAACCTCCAAAACTCTATAAAGGTCCCTACAAGCAGCGTTAAAGTTGAGGGTGACCCCTCTTCTTGTGGGACTGGCGAATAGAAAGACCAGATCCCATCAACATGGGGGAGCCTCGGAACGAAAGAAATCAAACGACTTTTGTAAAACCGCGAATATACACACATACATACATGTACACACACACACACATATATATATATATATATATGTGTGTGTGTATACATAACAGAAACATATACATATACAGCATATGCATTTTTCATACACATACGCAAACACACATACATATATGTATGCATGTATGTATGCAAGATATCCCGACAGCCGTATCTCTCATCCTTACTCCAACCCTGCCTAAGCCTTGCACATTTGACCTCATGCGGCTTTGTAGACTCCAACGTCCCAGTAACAGCCCTAGTGCAGGTTTATGGGGGTTTCCGAAAGTTAGAGGTACCTTATTTGGGGGTCCTTATAATAAGGAGCCTGCTATTTAGGGTACTATATCAGGGTCCCATATTTCCGGATAGTGTAGGAACCTGATGAAGAAACCTTGGGCTTTTATCAGGGTTTCTTAACTATATGAATCCTACTATTTTGGAATTTTGGGGTTATATATCCCAGGGTCCCTTCATCTAATTCCTACATCATCTAGGCCCATGAAGCCAGATCCAGATCCGACACTGTGAACCGTAAACCGTGCACCTGTCCATACTGGACCCTGAACGCTCAAAGCCTCTTCCAAAGTGGCGGCAGGATATCCGCTATCAAGCTGCAGCAAGAACGGGCTTAAGCGCACCAAAACCACGGTTTCCAGAGGTTCCTTGAGGCGCGGCTGCGCCGCGCACTGGCGTCGAAGAACGACGTCATCGACGAGCTCAAGGCATCACCCTCCTTAAAACCAATGGGCGACCTGAAAAAGCCGATCCTGGAAGGTTATCCGTGCTAAAAGGGGGCTTTGATTCTGGGCCTCGTTATACCAACCTTAACCCAAAACCCACTAAAACCTCAAAGCTTAAGCTTCCAGGGCCAAGCCTTAAACCTCATATCACTAGAGTATGTACTTCGATCCTAAACCCTGAACCTTACATCGCGCTGACAGGACGAGCTGGGGCGCCGGGAGGCGGAGATCTTCGAAGCGCGGAGCATCCTCGCCGGATTGGCGACCGAGGAGCCAACGAAAAGAGTCCCAGCAAAAAGGCGCAGGTTATCGGGTTACGGGCTTAGGGCCATTATCGACGTTACTTTGGCCACAGGAAATGCTTGTCCTTGCAACACATCGTGATGAAGATACACGAGAGGTGGCCCATGTGAACGAGGCGTCTTGCATGGCCGCAGCGGTGCAGAAGCAATGCTTGAGCTTGTTCGAAATTGGAGCCTTTTCTCAGTTGAGGCAACACTTTAGCACCATGTCCAGGGAAGAGCGATTTCCAGAGCCTCTAAACCTAGACCCCAAAGCCTAAATCCTAAACTCTGAAACCCGGATCCTTCGACCCCGGATGCTCAAACTCTAAACCACCAGCCTTCGACCCTTAGTGGCAAAACCCCAAATTAACGTACTTCGTGTTGAACACATTCCCAAGTTGAAGTTTCGCTCAGCAGACCTCGAACCAAGCTTAAGTAAACCATCAGACCGCGAACCCAAAAGCGGCCTTCACTGCTTTGATGGCACGCGGGGCCGCTCGCGCAGCCCCCGGAAGTGTCGGATATGTTCTTTGTTATTAGTATGATTGGTATTATCGGTATTGTTAGCTTAATAGTACTCTTAGTATCATTAGTACTGCTACTACTATAGTGAATATTGTTATCAATTTTATGATTGCTGCTAAAAGTGTTCTTGTTGATGTTAAACGACTTCGAGGGAATGACTGAACATCATGTTTAGTAGGGTTATAAGTACGAAAAGTTCATTTCGGGTGGGGTAGATACAACTCTGCAATAGCCTATTTATGAAGTGTTGCTTGAAAGTATGCTTGCAGCCAGAGGCAGCAGACGGCCACGAGCAAGCACCAAAGTCGCCAAACGGGGAAGGGAATTGCACAGTGCACAGGTACTGACGTTCTCATGCTTTATCATGCTTCCTTTCCACATCAGAATGGGAACATGCATGGGGCTTATCGCGGACTTTGCAGGTCCTTGCCATCCGTGAAGAAGCGGGCACTGCCTTGTGTGGTGGCATGGAGGAGCGACGCGCTGTACTGCTACATGGCTGTTCCTTGTCGTGTTAGCTTATCATCCTGAACAGCACCCTAGAACTAGGCTGCTGCTGCACACTGCAGAGCTGTAGACCGAGCCGCCACTGAGCTGACTCCAAGGAGTCCAAATAACGGCTCTTTCCGTGGTTCCCGTGTCAGGGCTTGACCGGACAGCGTACAATAAAGGTTCAGGTTACTGGATGCTTACTTGCGATAAGAAGGTTTTCTAAAGAAGTCACGGTACATGTTTCTAGACGAGTTGCTGTGAAAGATTAGTCGCGGTTAGTGTGGAATCGAAAATGCCTGCCGAACCTTGGGAGCAACTGGTGTGTCTGCAGGTTCGGTTTGGCTCAAGACCGTGAGCCATGAAAATCCAGAGGTTGTTGTCTCGTGGCGCTGCACCCGCTTCACCCGTGCCTCAAGAAGAGCTGTCGGGCAGCGAAGCTGGTAGCTTAGACATAGAAGAGGAGCTTCACCAGCGGAGCCTTGATCCCTCGGATCCCGATGTCTACTTGGATGCCTTCTTCGGGCCTTTGTTCTTCAAGCTGGATCGGATCCGCAAAGAAGGGTCGGCCAAACCTCGCTTCTCCGATTACTGGCTCGTTAGCATTTTCCTCCTGCTCAACCTTGGTGTTCAACTGACCATTGCCTTGAAGATCGAGCAGGTGGGAAAGGAAACCTATGGATCCATTGGCAAGAACCTGATGCTAGGCCGTTCTTGCAACGAGTTTAGCGGAGTTTCTCTGTGAAACAAACTGAGGGGAACAAGCAATAAAGCTGGGTTTTCGAAGGTTTTCGGGCACAGCCCAGGAATCATGGCACCTGCTGGAGAATATCACATCATCCCGATTTCATCGGAGCCCTCTATCCCGAGAGTCTTGCAGGCTGGCCGGATTCAAAAACCCACACCTTACTTGGAGGTTCATGGGTAGTTAAAAGTGGGATTATAAGTAGGCTATCTATGATTATAACCCATATTATATAAAGAACTTAGAAGCCCACGTATGACTACTCATGAACCTCCAAGTACTCCCGAAGGGCTTAACAAGCAGTTTCCGCGCCGTGCGCAATCGGAGGCTGCGCGAAGAGCCCAAAGTAGAACACCAAGAAAGGTCGGAACACAGGAAACGTCGAAATCACAACATTGGACAACCCCTACAAAACAATGCAGCAAAGCAAACCACATCAGCCGACCACCGGTTAAATGAACACGAGTAGCTAAGCACATCGAAACGAGATTGGTGTCATTTTCCGTGCTTCTGGCCTAGCTTTCTGCGCCTGGACCTAGCTGAGACACACAAAGCGCCTCTTACAACCCCCAATGCCGTCAGAACCCCAAGACGTAGCCCTGTCTAAACCCTTGACCCCACTCCCATGAAGCCGGCCAAAACGATGTTGGGCCCTAATATAGAAGCCTGAACCAGTGCTATACTATTCCTTCAGGTTCTGGTTCTCAACGTTCTAGCACAACATACCCCAGAACTCTATTCTAGTTGTCAAGGCCCCTATACCACTCGGAGGCTTGCGCGACTCCTCGACATTTGACTTCGACTGCACCCAGCCGATGCTGACCTTGTCCATCTTTCCAGAGAGTTTGGATCATGTCGGCAGCAGAAGGCACCATTTTTATGTGTCGGAAGCCATGTAACTCTACCATGCTACCATAAGAAAATTTGGCCTTGTTTGGGCCAAAGAATTCCGCAACTAGGATACCAACCGCGACGGCTTTTGGACCATGGACGAAGTAGTGGCAAGGCAGGCGCAGCTTGCCAGCTTGGGGAGCAACATGGCCCAGGGCATGAATAAGACCATGCAGCGCATGGCGAAGTATGATGAGAAGAATCGCCCAGGCTCACGGAGCACGTCGACGAGCCCTGTCAAGCTGGACATGCAGTTCTTCAAGTTTTACAAAGGAAAGATCCAGGTCTGCGTGGCCAACGACAAAAACTTGTGTGGAAACCTCGAAGCTTCGAAGCAGCTGCCTAAGATGCTGGGAGGCGACGCCTTCGAGGATGAGGATCGTGTGGCTGAGTGCGAGGACCTTATGAGTACTTTCTGTCCGAAAATCTTCGGAACTAACTATCAGTGGATCAATTACGAGACATCAGAGCTCTGTGGCGAGCCTGAGTTTGACCGGGTAGGGCACGTGAACAAAGCAACCTACGAGTCAGTTACGACCTACCAGGGAGATTCTGATTCGATTCTCGGTCATGTCTTCGTCACCTTCTTGGTATTGATGCTCTTCGTGTGGATTATGCTGATGCTGAGCGAATTCCGTAGCATCTTCAACCTTTTTCATGTGATTTGGTATATGCCTTCGACGAGCGACTCGGACGCGAGCTTTGCAAGTGGAGACGAGACGTTCACAGTGTCCAAGTTGCCGACCTTCCACAAAGTCTTCTCCTTGTTGTTCATGGGCCCTTCACAGAAATTTTTCAGTTTGTCGTTATAGTAAAAATTCAGGGTGAGAATGAACAACAGGTGCCTAACTACCAATACTGTTGCCAAATACGAAACTTTTGTCGCGGTTACTCTGATTGTCATGATGGAGGTTTCCATGTGTGCAGTGTAACTGGTGTTGTCAGTTTTGTCAAACGGGGGCTTACAGGTTCATTGCCCTGCCGCGGCTCGTGATCGCGGTGGTGGTCTTGTACGTGGGCGCAAACTTCCTGGCAATCACCAACAACTTGCAGGACTTGGTGCTGAACAGCACTGCTTTGGGGTTCCTCATTGAGGTGGACAACATGATCCACAGTTCCTTGTTGGGCCAAAGCTTCGAGATCCTCGTGATGCACCGCTTCGAGGCCGTCTCAGCGCCAAGCCGCGAGCGTGGGGTGGTGCAGTCTTTTGGAGCCTTGGTCGTGTCTCTCCTTGCCACGGGCTTCTTCATTGCTTACATCTACTACCAGCCATTCGGATTGCAAGCGGTAGGCTTGGGCGTGCAATGCTTGTGCCACCTGGAGGGTAATTGCTATGCCCAGAAGCTTCTTCCAGAAGTGGGTTAGGCCGGGAAAGGTCGGAGGCTCAAGACGGTCAGCCGGCGGTAGACAAAAGGATCGCCCCGAAACATAGCTCTTTTCCTTGCGAAGCTGTAGTATAGGGCGTTAATAAGTACCTATACTATTTTGGGGGTTCTTTATTGCCTTATTATAGATATAGAAAAAGAGACTCCAAAACAATGCTTTAATTATTATGGGCCCTATAGTAGGCCTTCATTGCACAGACCATGTATGCGATCTTCTGGTCCAGGCTCAAGTTCATCATAAGGTTTCCAACAGGTCTTTGTCCTGAGGCGTAACCTTATACGGCCCCACGCTGCCCAAACACCGCTCAGAAGGGCTTTTGTTCAGCAAGGAACCCTACAACAAGACCTCCCAAATAGTGTGTATTCAGGGTATATTAGAGTGTATAGTTGGAGGGTCTAAGAGCATTCTGTGGCTTGAAAACTCCCAAACTTCCCGGTGGCGCAGGGCAGCGCAGGGCACAGCGGCCTGGTGCTGGGGGCGTCCGGGCACCTGGTTGGGTCAAGTTATGACGTGGGGGTTTCCGACAATTCGGGGAGTACCTTAGGGGTTCCATTAAAGGTTTACTATAACCTAAGGGTTCCGAATATTTAGCGTACCTTGTTTTTGGGGTCCTTGAGTCCTGATATTAAGGATCTTACTATTGAGGGTACGCAAGTAGCGTTCCCCGATTTTCGGAAACTTCCACATAGAGTCTGTGAGGGTGTGGAGCGAAGAAAGGGCGCCTTGGTTTGGGTCGGTTGCCGAGGGAGTTCAGGCATGTTCCGAGCGCTCCTTCGGTGTCGAGACGAGTCCTTTGCCGAACGTGCGGGAACTGGGGTCGACAGCTCTAAGTTTCTGACCCCCTATGGATCATAGGTTCCAGGATCCCGTGCTCCCGGTCGGCCCCCCACTCTTCTTCGTCCTCAGCCGCAAACAAAGCCGAAGCCTTGCCCCACGAGGCCGCAAGTTCGTCCGGTCCGGAGCATAAGGGTTCAGCACCAAAGCGTGTTGCTCAGCGCTCCGTCTAACATGGATGGTGTGGCAGTCGCAAAACCGCTGAAAGACGCTTCAATCCCGCGATGCTTGTGTGTCCCAAATCCGAAGCATCCCATGTCCGCCAAATCCCCTAAAGACACCGGGGGTGGTTCAGGGGTTTCGTGCTTATGTAGGGGGAGTCCCGAACATATACGGTGAGTTCTGGAAAAGGCCGCGATAATCCCAGGTGAAGGCACCTTGGATTTCTTAAAGTTGAGGCACCCGTGTTTCAGAATATAGCCTCACACTCCAAGGGTAACCTGAATTTCTGAGTAGAACAACAATTTCATAACACCTTTGTTGCGTGGCCCGAACGCTGTGAAGATTAAGTGTCATGGAGAGGCAGCCAAGGACAAAAAAGGAAGCTGGTGACATCCGAAGAGGCCATGTCAATTCCGACAGACACTCGCATTGGTCCAGCAAGTGGGCACCACCTGAATTTCCTCGGGCCAAGACGCCCCACAAACGCTTGGACCGACGAGCTGCAAGCATTTCAGCAATGACACCAGAAAAGACCCCGGAGCACAAAGCCTCGAAGGCGTCAACCTTCAACTCATCCAGAGCTGTGGTTGCCCGCAGCTTTAGGGCTCAGAGCTTTGGACATCTTTGGACTTCTCCGGGCGCCAGGTGCAGTCACTGCCCGAGCCTTAAGTCTGGGCTTGAAAGCGCCAGAAATCAGACTGTCTAGGACGCCGCTTGTTGGTGCACTCTAGCGGCCGGTGTCGCCTGGATTGGTACTCGTTGAAGGGCTTCGGGTCAAGCATTTTCTGTCCGGGTTTCTCAGGAACCTAAAGTTCCATACATGTCCATGAAAGATGATAGTTCACTAAACTGTTGAACTTATCGCCCCCTCCTGCAAAAAAAGCACATGTCCATCTCATGGTTCGTGGGCATCCCACCTCTCCGCTAAGGCAGGATGGCGAAAGTCCTCGTGCGCACGGCGCCGGCAGGCTGCAGCCGCTAAGTGTTGCAAGGTCTCAGCGGAGTGCGTTGATTTCGTTGCTTTATATGCGCCCATAAAAACTCCCTTAACCCTGTAGACCCTATAAGCCACTCGAGCGCCCAATCCTAAAGCCCGGAATCGGTCACCCCAGGTGCAACTCCACACCTCCAGAGTTTCAGGGTTAAGGGTTTAGGGGAACCATTCCGTCTCGACTCAAGATTCCTGAAAGTTTGTTCAGGCGAATATTCCGTACATCGCCACAGGGCTGTAGGGATTCTTATTACGAGGACGGCAGATGCAGCCATGGGATCATAGGATCTTTGGGCGCTCTGATAAGCAGATGCTCCGCCTGCTTGGAGGTTCATGGGTAGTTATCTTATCGGCTGTAAACTCAACTTTTCAATTTTGGAGGTTCTTATAAAGTAGTCGATTCTGAAGGTTTCAACTTTTATTTCCGGGTTTTGGGCCAGTGAGTTATAAGTGGGGCTTATAAGTCCCATAATATGGGTCATAACTTATATCTGTAGTTACCTTACTCATAACCCCACTTATAACTCCCCTAAACCCCATAGAATCCTTAAAGAAACCCTTAAAAAAACGACCCCGTAACCCAAACCCTGCTGTTTCAGTGGCTGTATATCTTATAATAAAGTTGTCATAACTAGTTATCTTATAATAACGGCGTCAGAAACATATATATATATATATATATATATATCTTATAATACAGGGATCATAACCTACTAGTTTGTAGGGTTTAGGGTTTGGGGTTACAGGCTGCACCTCACGGAAGCAAACGGCGCTCGTTCGGCTTCTTCGAGGGTTTATTGAGGGTTTAAGGCGGAAGCCAGGAAGTTGGAGCGTAATGTCCTTGAGGTGAGGTAAACGGACATATTCATCCATGTTCCAATTTTCGTGTGTTGTCTGCAGCGTGAGGATTTTAAGCGTTGTGACCAAGTGCCAACGGCGGAAGCAACATACACCCTATCAGCGGGATGTACCCTATAAAAACTCGTATAAAGCCCTACAAAGCCTTATGAAACCCTCTCAAACCCGAACCCTCTAAAGACCCTGTGAAACCCTATCAAACCCAACCCCTATATAAACCCCTATGAAGCCCGATGACCCCCCTCCTCCCCCCCTATGAAACCCTATCAGCCCTAAGTTGAAAAGGAGACGCGCTCGCAGAAGCGCCGCGTGGCCGACGCGCGCCCGCTCCTCAAAGTCCAGGGTGGCTTTCGGCTGAGGGATTTTAGGGTTGTTTAGGGTTTAGGGTGCTTAGAGTTTTTAGGGTTGAGGATTTGGGGTTTATTAGGGTATAGGGTGTTTCGGGTTCAAAGGATCGAGGATGTCTGAAGGCTTTTTTCAGACTCTCAGCCCCAAACCCCACTTGGCCCCAGATATTGAACGGTGTGGTCGGCCAGTTCTGTTTTCTGTATCTACCACTTGCGGGGGACTGACTTGGGTGGAGTTTTCATCTCTCTTGCCTGTGTGAGAAAATCTCCGTCCGTGTGGAAACATGCCTATCTTAGATGTTGCTTCTACCAGAAACATGGGGTCTGTAAAAAAGACTCGTATGATGCTTGAAAGAACGTGAGGCGCACATGCAGACACGCGATTTGGTCTCCCGAGCTCTGTTTATAGTGCTTTAGGGCGGTGGGTTTTTAAGTTCAGCAGCAAGGGTTGAGGCCTTATCTGTAGCCACACGAAAACCGCCTAAACGACCGAATGCCCTATAATCACTACATCGTCTCACCTTCACCTCTCAAGGAGCGGCGCTGGCAAGGGCGGAGAAGTCGAAGCAGGCGGTCTCCAGAATGAGCATTCATGATTAGGGTTCTGCCCCCACGCAGTACCAGTTGGATAATATTCATAATGTAGATTTATTAGGCCCTTAACAGAAGCCCTATTGTAGACTGTTACTGTTTGGGGGTAGTACCCAATCCATGGTCGCTGCAGTGTGCCACACTGGTGCCAGTACACCAGAAGTCCGCGACCCGAACCTCATAAGTTCACGTCACGTGTCTTGACGCAAGATGCCGCAGCTCCGGGCGGCCATCAAGGCCTCGCCCCACCATGATGTTACGTTTGAGCATCCTAAGACCGGAAACTCAGAGGCTGATAGAAACTCTAGGAGCTATCCTCGGTGAGCCTGATAGACCGGCAGGGTGCTCAGGTTTTCGGGCTGTGCGTCACTGGCGCAGGAGGGATACCGGGTCGGCTTGACCGACTACAACTCCTGCCTCTTCGAGGCCGCAGTCAGGTCTTGAAGGGGGCGCAAATCGCAATGGTCTGAAGTTAGGTTTTGTGTTTGGGGCTCTCCAAACCCAAAAAGCCTGCGCGGACGTCGAAGAGTTGATGCATCGTGAAGCAAGGCGAAGCGCATGCTTGTGGGCTTGGAAATCAAGCAGCGCGACCTGGCCATCGCTGAGGCCTCGTTTGGCGTTTCGGCTATGGGAGGGGGGTGAAATTGTGGAATTTGTCCGTCCACCCAGTCTCCTCCTTCCCTGGACCCCAGTGTAGGTGTATCATATATCGAAAAGCTTTTGCTTGTTCCAGGGGCCTGGCCGAAGGCCGAGGCGAACCAGGGTTTTGGGGTTTGAGGTTTGGTTACTGCGTCTTCTTCTAGTGCTCGTAGCGACCACAAACACCATGTAGAATGACCTCGTCATGATGACACGAACCCCAGGACCTCCGAGCGAAGCGAGGGGAGCTCAACCGCCAAATCCTCAAGGAAAAGGAGGCTGGGGGCAGTCAAAAGTCAAAAGTCGCTACTTGGGTAGGGTTTAGGGTTAAGGATGGTTAAGGGTTTAGGGTTAGGGTTTAGTGCCACGAGTGCAGCGGCTCTGACATCTAGGCGGGCATGTGCAAGTCTGTGCAAAAAGGGTTTAGGGCGTATTTCTCTGCTGTTGTGTTACTTGCCATGCTGCCTGCAAGCTCGTTTGCACCGACGCACGGGGCTGTGCAGGAGAAGGCGAAGATCCAAGAGGACGATGGTTATTTTTCGTGCAGCTGAGGGGCGGTCAGTTGTGACAGAGCAAAGGCAGAGTTAAGCAGTAGCATGGCTGGCGGTATACAGTCACAAGATCGTGTTTTCCTCACAATGCAGCCTTGTCCAGGAGCTTTCGATGCTCACGGGCAAGCTGCAGAAGATCGACGAGGGTCTGGCGCGGAAGATCCAAACGCGAAGTGAGTATGTCAAGAAGATCCAGGACAGGCCGTCTCGCCGACACCTTCCTTGCATTTTGGCCTTCAGGCTATGCCTGCTAGCTGCAGAGCAGTTGCGACGAAAGGGTAGGTGATGCTGCAAGCTCCTTGTTCTTGGCGTCGGCAGCACCCGTGTAGCTAGAGTTTCTTGCAAGGATACCGAAGCGGCTTACCCCGAGTCCTCGCCGACTCTGCCGCGTGCTTGGGCCCTAAAGGGTCCTTTACCGGTGATAGGGCCGTAGTACTAGAAGGAAGCCATAGTCGTAGTTCGTCGCAGCGGTGGGGACGAGTGGCCCTGGACAAGTTGCCTTGAGCTTCAGGTGGCTTCAGGTGTCACAAATCGGAGTGTACGGTCTCAGGGCATGTAGCTGCTAATGTAGCTTGGGTTTAAATTTCATGGCTTGCTTCGAGAATTGAGGATAGATATATTTGTCTATATCTATATCTATATATATATATATATATATATATATATATATATGGGAGTTTACGGTCATAGGGGACCCCCAAATAGTAGGATTCCCTTACAATAATGACCCCAATAAGGTACCCATACCCCTATTTGCGCGAAAAAACACCGTATAAGGCTCACAATTCGAGCTGCAGGTGGCAGGGCCCATTGGTGTTGGGGTGTGTAGGGGGCTTTAGATGATAGGGGGCGGCTCTTGCCGGGCAGGAGGCTTTGGGGTTTTGGGTTTTCGGGTATTGCTCAGAGTCCTGATGCAAAAAAAATGGAATCGGGATTTCAGCAGGGTCCCGAGTTCGAAGGCAAAGCCTACAGGCCGTAAACGCACCAAGCCGACTAAGCCCGTAACCCCAATGCCTCCCGACCTACAAGTCCAGAGCTTTAAACCCTAAGTCACATAATATGGGGGCCTAAATAACTAACACTACGTACTATTCCGGGGGTTCCTTATTATGACAGTATAATGGGCCCCAAAGCCGTATTCTAATCATTAAGGCCCTTGCATCATAGACTGTGCTCATTGGTACCAAAGGTGATTCTTCTCAGTGAGTACAGCATGCCCCAATGGCTTGCATGGAACCTAAACTAGGCCTTCAACCCAAACCCGAAAACGGCGCCAGAAGAAGCCTTTGCCGCCGGTGCCGGTGTTCCGCGAGGCTGGCCCCCATCAGATGTAGGAGCCAAGCATGTTCGGTTTGCAGTATTTGGCGCATATGATACTAGTGTGAGGCGTGTGAGCCGCGCCGCAAGAGGATCCGGCTGGTGTGAGGGCCGCGGCCTCAGGGGCCCTAAAGGATCCCAGATCCCCAAATTCGGTCGCATGCAAGCCATAGGCCAAACACCAGTGGCGCAGTAGACCCCAAACCCTAAACCTTTAGGCATGAAGCCTGTCAATTCTCGATCCGGGCGTCTCGGGAGGGAGATTGTTATTCGGGGTGCCGCACCACCTGCATTGGAAAATGGTGAAGGCCAAGGAAGCTTGGTAAGTAAGGCTAATTATGGTGTGCAGTGAACATCAATCCTGCAGCTACGCTCAAAACACCATCGAGTCCAGCGCACACGATGTCTTCTGCAAAGTGCGATTCTTGCAGAGGGGGGGCTGCTTGCTAAACTTCTCTGCTCCAAAGCTTTCTTCGAGAGGTCTGTCAACGCGCCTGTCTCGAGGCCGGAAGTGTCGAACAAGGCTGAGTAAGAGCGTGAATCGTGAAAGACATAAGTAGGTGAAGTAAGCAGGTTGGGATATCCTAGCATGTTTCATGTGAACACGCACAAACAAGCTGCTGCACGGCTAAATCACCACGTCCGACATGGTTGAGAGTCTTGTGCCCGATGCCCGGCGATGCAGGCTGCATCCAACCCTGGAGAACTTCCGGGTCTCTATGACCCCGCGCTCCGCGTTCTCGACCGCCCCCCCGCACCCCCCCCCGCCAAACATGGTATCCACCCTCCCATGGTACCTCCACCCCCAAACTTCTTCCCTTCCGTGGTTCATGGTGGGTGCAAGTTTAGCGCTGGGTTTCCCCTTCGCCCCCCCCACCGCCCCGGTTATTGGTGGTTTTAGTGGTCACGGTCAGGGCAAGGTCAGGGCAACCTGAAACCTTGGCCGCACGTAAGCCTAGCAAGAAAGAGCGGAAGCCCTGAACCTACACCCACACCCTGAACCCGGAACTCTACACTCTCAAGACCCTATAACCCACCATGACCCAGGGAAAGCAGAATGGAAACCTAAGCCCTAGGGCCGTATCATAACCGCGACCTAGCATGAGATCATAACTTAGAGAACTGGCCATATCATCATGTGAATCCCTCTTCGTTTTTTGTCAGATGTGTCGGGCAATAGCCTCATCACTTCCCCACAAAGTTGCCATCGGGCCAAGACGGTCTGCATCTTCTGGCTGGCAGAACAAGCTAGGGGGTAATCGCGGTTGGACATTGCAGACGTCTGGGTATTAGGCTGGTAATAGTAGAGTTGTTTGGGTGTGTCAACCTACTCCGCCTTGAGCCAAGACGAACATCCTCCAAAAGCTTATGGGAGTTGGGTTGCAGGGTATCTTAAAGCTTGAGAGCACCGTGGGAGCCTTTGAGCATTTCTGTTAGGTATTCAGGGGCCCCGGGCCGACATCGGACATCTCTCAACATTCGAAGCTTGCCTTCGTGGCCCGAAAGAGGCAACGCGGGAGGCGTTCTGCCATTGCCTGTCTGGAATTTACTCTTGGAGCTTTGGGCGACTCCTGCACATGTGATGATCACCTTGGTCATCTGACGGCTGCAAAACGCCGCTTAGGATGACATCATGAGTGACAATAAGCTTGCTCTGCGGATAGCTGATATCCAGCTCTAGACTCGCAGTCTTCACTTTGCTTAGGCTGCGAAAACCGCGCACCTGGCATATCGTGGAGTCTGAACCATGTTGTCGGGGTGCAGCAGGGGCTGTAGAATCACACCCTTGCAGCTCTCTTAGATGTGGCAGACGAGCATCGTAGTTGGCCAAAGCAGAATGTTGATCCTAACCCCAAGCCCGAGGCCATAGCCCTTGCTTGAAACCCTGAAGAGAAAACTCCCGACTCTCCTTGCTAGTGAAACTCGGTTCTTGTATTACCATTTCGTCATCTACTGCCTCGCATCTCCTTTCGTTCATAACAACAAGAAAGCAGGTTGGGCTACACATGCCCAGAGTGAATTGCATGCATTATTTGCCAATGTGCAGAAAAAGAGCCGCGTGGCTCATCCTTCATGAAGCTTGAGTCCTGCAGGCAGTGGGAGCAGAAGAGTGGTGAAAAACCTGCCGTTACCCCGCTGGTGCCGTTTCCAGCGCTTGAATGCAGCATAGTGTTCCTACTGATCATGTTCCATCAGTTCCATCCGTATTTATTGGCAACAGTCAGCTTGGCACAGGCACTGCCGGGAAAACTGGGACATTCTCGGACATGCCCAGACAAGTCTCAATTGGTTCCTGCTCCTTGGTGCTGCCGCGCTGATTTTCAGCCGGCGGCCATGGGGAGGTCGGGCCTCGTTCTGGGAGGGTTGGTTTGTTCCGTCCTAGTGAGGGCCTCTGCCACAGGTGCTTAGGTCCCGATCGCTTCCAGTCCTGAGGGTACCGGGCTTCACTTGAGGTTTTATTTCGCAACTTCATTGGGCATGCCTAATGCAGCGATGACCAAGATTCACCATAATTTCATAATGTAGCCCCTGGTCGATAATGCTTGGTCTTTGGACGAGGTTCTTGTTTTCCTATTGCTTGTTAACCAGATGTCTACATTGGCCCATTCGTGTTAGCAGCCGGTCGATTGCTGGTCTCTCTGCAGCCGGCGGGCTCAGGGCTGCAGCCTGCTCCCAGCAGAATTTGGCCAGGGGAGTCTGCAATTGCAGAGGATGCAGGGGGCCCGGGTCCCGAAATTCAAGCGGGCCAGCAGGGGCGGCAGAAAACTAGTTGCGGCGGTGCTCTGTGGAGTCTGTCTGTGGATGCTGCGCTCCGCTGCCCGCTCCACTGCCCTCTTCGTACACCGGCCTGTCTTCCGAGGGCAGAAGCCGCTAAGGAGCTGCAAGCACTAGGAGGGCATAGGGGGGATCCGAGCTGCTTCCTTCAGTCCTGCGAGTCTTGTCTGTCTTGGAGTCTTGCAGTCAGATCACTCGACCGAAGTTTGTCGGAGGACCAGGCGTCCCGCAGCTTCCATGTCCGACGAGAGCATCCCGGCACCGTAAAGATGTGGAGTGAAGCTCAGAGGCCTTTTTGGAATCTTCGGCTGCCATTCGGGCACACCGTGAATTTACAAGACTCTCTCCCTTTCTCCCTCTCTCTGCCTCCCTGTTTCTGTTTCTAGTAGTTTCTTTTTCTCGCTAGCTTGAATTATGCATATATACGCGTAGTATGCAGGTGTGCATGCTTGCAAAGATGTATGCCTGCATGCATGCGTGCATTCATTCATGTGCCGCGTGCTTCACAGTTCGAGTTTTGGCCCAGCAGGTCCTGGTGATTAGTGTCCTTTCTCACAGGTCCCAGCAGGCAACTATAAGGCCAGCCATGCGACCTTACAGTGATAGTGGTTATACTTATCCCTAACCACATGACCTCGGCTTGGTGAGTGCAGATGATCAGGGTGCCTGGGACACTTTCGAAAGTAAGCACCTGAATATCGATTGCTGGAGTTAAGGGCAAGAAAGCAGCGCACCTTGATACAGATTGTAGGGGTACCTCTTATTTACCCTAAACCCGAGTCGTACCTCTTATTAACCTTAAGCCCGATTCCCTTCCTTGATCAGTAGAGAGAGCTTGGAAGCAGCGGCAGAGGTCGCGATGCGGCCTTCATGGAGAGGCTCCGTGGCCTGGCCAGCGAGGCGCCGCTGGAAACATGTTTGGGGGTGGCGGTGGTGGTGGGGGGGGGCTGTGCCTGCCGATGTTGTCATTGTAGATTCCTCAGATGGGTCATACTTACAAACTGATAGTCACCCTTACGATATTGATCAGACTTGTGTCAAGTTTCAGATGTGCTGATGATCACACTAGCGTTAACTTCAAAATGCCGCTCATACCAGTATGTTTCCAATCTTGCGACGAGTACTAGAAACAACTGCTTATTCAGTTTCCTGCCGATGCTTATTGATGGAAGGGCGGAGCTTTTGCACCGTGTTGTATTGGTAGCTGGAATACTTGAGCAGAACTTCAGCTGGGCTGTGATTTCAAGTTTGTTTAGATGTCGTGTTCTGACTTGCCAGACAGTAACCTCAGGATGCTTGCTAGGCCGAATGAGCTCTCACCCCCAGCTCGCAGGCTTTGGCGTGGCCGTTCCTCGAGGATGAGCAGCGACTGATCTGGGCCGCCGTGCTGGAGTTCGACGCGGTGCCTACGCAGGAGTGACGAGGGAACAGTGAAGCTTCAAGAGGCTTGGGTTTGCAGTTCGGAACTCAAAGTCCTAAGTGCTTAGCGGTTAGCAAATGAGCTTTGACAGATTCCGTTTCCAATTTCTCGCGGAAAGGAGTTGCCTCCCTGGTTCTTCGAGCGGCACAACTTCACACGTCGGCGCCTAGGACTGCTGTGCTCTGATGTTCCAAACCTGCCCGCCGTGTTCCCACGTACACGTAGCTGCTCCTCCCCTTTTGGTTGGAAGGAGTGGACCTCTTCAGCTTGGACGGCCAGCAGGCGATCCTTTGCCGGGCGGGGAATTCCACCGGCAAGAATGTGAAGCGTTTCCTGCGAACGGCCCACTGTGTCCTTGAGGCGGGTGAGGAGTGAAGTGCGCAGCCAGCTGGAAAGGCAGGTGTACGGCCCAGGTCACGGGTGCCAGCAAGATGCTTGAAAAGTGTTGTGTGAGCACAGGCTCCTCGCTGTACACTCTGGACGGACCGCGGCTGCAACATCGCGGCAGACTCCCAGAGGTGGCTGCAACGATACGGCGGTCAGCGGAAGATCCTGACCAAGAAAAGATTGCGCCAGCTGTGCCGCGATAATGCCACTTCCGTCCTGACATTTGGTCAGGCTACCGGTGACCCGTTGCCGGACCCGCCACTGCGGCCCTGCCAGGAAGCGTGCCTGGAGGCGTGCGCCAAGGGAGCCCGGGTCATCGAGATGGCCTGTGGCACTGGGAAGACGCGCGTGATCTGCGAGCTGGCGGCGAAGCAGACGGGGAAGGCTAGGAGAGCAGAGAGAGATGGAGGGAGAATACGTCGAATCAAGTTTGCAAAGCTCGGGATCACGTGTGGACATGTCGCATCAGTCTTGGCAGTTTCGTGCCTAGGTCTTGGTCATGGTTCCTTCTCGGGTGCTGCTTGAGCAGTTTGCCGTGGACTTGCCTGGCTTCTGCAAGGTGGGCATGCGTTACAACGACAACATCAATATGCAATCCCGAGGCTTCATTGCTGTGACTGACTCGGTGCATTTTCTGGACAAGCTGGAATTTGCGGCCCTGCTTGTCGACGAGGCCCACCACCCTTTGCCCAAAGGATGTCCGAGCTGCAGTCAGCTCTTCAAGTTCTCGGCCACGCATGCTGGCGAAGTGGATTTCAGGTACAGCCTTGGTGAAGCAATCGGGGACGGCGTGCTGTGCGACTACGACCTCACAGTGCCGGTGACAACCGAAGGACATCCGTACATTTGCCTTGCGAACTTGCTGGTGTCGCAAGCCGGGCGGTTTCGCCGAGTGCTCGCGTACTGCAACACCCTCGCAGAAGCCAAGCGGTTCCGGCAGGTGTTGGAGACCGTCGGCTTGGCAGCCTGGCACATCAACGGGCACACAAGCCGAAAAGAGCGAGAGAGGGTGATGAACGAATTTTCCGACGATCTGCTGAAAACCGTGCATGTTCTGGTAACGGTTCAGGTCCTGGGCGAGGGGGTCAACATTCCGAATGCGGACACCTGCATGTTCGTGGAGCCACGCAGCAGCTACGTGAGCATCATTCAGGCCATCGGCCGGGTGCTCCGGCCACATCCTTCGAAGCCTCTGGCTCACATCGTGCTGCCCGCGGTTGTAATGCCAGCCACAGCCGGCGCTGCTCACCGTGAGTGGGGTGATATGCCTGGTACAGCAAGCAGAACTGAAAGCAGGGCACCAGATTTGGACGCTGCACAGCATGGTGGCATCCTAGAGTCACCGGCAATTCCGACGCAGGTAAGGCCTGGTGCAACGGCCTTCGCAAGCAGCCAAGCCGCAGCTCAGACTGAAAACAGACACAGTATCCTGGGCCAGCCCAGCGTGCAGCCAGGACAAACTTCGAGAAAGTCCGCAACGCAGACCGTCGATGGCTTGGTTAAGAGGCACCGAAGTAAACTTGCAACAAACAAGCTTGAAGCCAGGAGTTGCAGACCCAGGCTTCCGCTTGCTCGGCTGCGGGATGACAGCAGCGGTGATACCGAGCCAAAGTCGCTTTTGACTTCTCAGCTGCCGAGGTCTGGAAGCGGTTGCGGCATGCAGAGCGACGCACAAGGTAGTAGCAAAGGCGACAAAGGCAGTGAGGTGAAGCTTGAAGACACCAGCTTGCATTCACCGCTTTGGAAGAGTGACAGCGATGGCACAGAGGCCCGCGACAGCTCCCCGAAGATAAACAACGGTTGGTCAGGCCATGGTTCGGAGCAGGAGCTTGGACTTCCGAATCGTATCTTGCGACCCGCGTCCGGACACATGGGCAGCTCTTCTGAAAAGCTGGAGATGGCTGAAGCTGCTGCCTTCGAAGCCGGACCTGTCATCTGGCAGCAATCTGCAGCAGTCACACGTCCGGTGCATGAGGCCGAATCGACCTCGTTGAGCATAAGCCGACCTTCAATTTCGCACCTCCAGGCTGCAAGTCCCAATCGGCCGGCTGTGAGCCACAATGCGCCAGCGTCCACTTCCCGGAAGCTGAAAGTCAACAGGGCCTTCAATAATACTGGTCTTTTCGGGCGTGAAAGTAGTGGTCAGCTGGACCGATTCCTCGAGGCGATAGCTAAAGCGGACAGTCGATTCCCTAACAAAGATGTTAAGCATTTGCAGTCTCGTCTTTGGGTTGCGAACTGCCAGCTGCTACAAGGAGTGCTGCCGGAGGTTTTAGTTCGGAGCCTGCAGTACAGCTTGGCTTTGATTCTCCAGCAGCATGATCCATGGGAAGTGCGATTGCGAGAAGTCGATGATTTTGTGCAAGATCATGGTAGGCTTCCACGAGAGTCCACGGACGTGCTTACTGAGAAAGCTTTGGCCGTGTGGCTGCGGACAAGCGGTTATAGAGTGAGGAGACACGGGCTCTCGGCGGCGAAGATGCAGAAGCTCCTAAATGTCTCGTCTCCTGAGTTTAGGGCACGTGTTGCGAGGTGGCTAGATCCAGAGACGCGCTTTCAGAAATTCTTGAAAGAGTTGCGCGAGTTCGTTCGGGCTCAACGCCGCATGCCAATCAACAAGAGGAAGGAACGCGTCCAGGGCGAGTATGGGTTGGCCCAACGACTGAATGGATTCGTGGGCTTCCGGCGCAAAGATCGCGAGAGGCGGCTCGAGCTGTTGAACAAACAAGGGCCCCTCGTGGAAAAGTGGGTAGCATCAAGACGCGCACGAAAGCCTCCTCAAGTCTACGAGAGGCGCTGGAAGCCGCAGCTTAAGAAGCTAGTTGACTTCTTGGATGCTCATGGTAGGATGCCGCGATCGGGGCATGTTTCGGAGCGGGCTATGTGCGTTTGGATTTGCAGACAGCGAAGCAACTTCGATCGTCTCTCGACCGATCTGAGAGCAGAGCTGGTCAACTCCCACTCGGAAGTCGCATCTTTCCTGCGGAGCTGAGCATGTTTGCGGAAGCTTATCTATAAGTTCGCGTCCTATTGCCCTGCGAAGCTGGGTCCTAGCTGGACTTGCAACTGACCCTCTGGGGCACGCGCCCCCTAAAGTCACAGCATGTCGACGGAAAAACGCTCTGAGCTCCCTGTACCTCAAGCCTGCTGGACACCAGAAGTCCGGCCATGTCAAGAGACTTTTGGCTCCTGCGACAGGGACGCGACTGAGCCTTCTCGGAGCTGTGAGTCTCATAGAAGAGGCAGCTGCAGAAATGTGTCTATGCAGGAACCACGTCCGGAGTGCATGCTGCCAGAAGTATGTGCTTCTAGCAGAGCTTGATCGTCCCAATCAAGCACCTTGCGTGTGCACCAGGCGGACGGCAATTGTGTTAGACATGTTTCTTTCCGATTCGCTGCTGACGGTCTGCCAGCTCTGACGAGACCCTACAAACACGTCTTCGAGCCGAATATGACGGCGACACAAAGGGCCCGAAGCTCCAATGCAGCAGCCAAGTTGACAATGCAAACGGGGCAAAGCTCAGTGGCCTCGGATCTTGCATTGACGACCGGCACGGGCCGCAGCAACACGAGGCAGCTGTTGTGCTTCAGCATCATGATGTTCTTTTTGCATCTCACAAGCTTCCGGTCCAGGATGCGCACAGCGCTGGCACAAGCAGTTGTGGACAGAAGCTGCTTGTGGCAGCTGCCGTCGCCGAAGCTGTGCCGCATGCCATGGCGCGATCAAGCCGAAGCAGCCTCGCCACTACCACGACTACTGCATCTGAGAGCTTCAAGGGAAAGGACATATGTACGCTGTCGAGCCACCAAGTCTAGGTCGAAGGTGAGGACGGCCGGTGACGCTGACATGTTTGGGAGGGGCAATGCTGACCAGCTTGAAAGGCTTTTGGAGGCGATAGCCATGGCGGACAGCCGATTGGACCTTTGCAAGTTCGCTTCTGGGTGATGGACTGCAGACTGCAGCAGCCCAGTATGCAGCATCTGCTTGTTCGAGATGCGGCATTGACCCTGCAGCAGCACGATCCCTGGGATGTGCGCTAGCAAGCAGGCGAGCAGTTTGGTCAAGCTTACCGCAACCTTCCTCGGGGCCAGACTTTGGCACTGTGGCTGCGGGACACAGGTGCCCAAATGAAGAGACAAGAGCTATCGGCTACGAGGCTGCAGAAGCTGTTGAAGTCGCCGTGCACCAGGTTGCAGGCCCGAGTGGCGAAGTGGTGGAATCCAGAGAGACAGTTTTCCAGCGACGTCTGAAGGAGTTGCAGGAGTTCGTGTAGAGGCGCGGTCGCATGCCCCACAGAAGGAAAGGGAGTGCAGCATGTGAACGAAGGCTGATTGCCGCCCTGGAAGCTCTGACCAATCCCTTGCGGCAGAACCGCGAGACGCGCCTTCAGCGGTTGGAGAGTGTCAATACCACGATTGCAAAATGGGCGAAGGCGGTGCAGCGACGAGAGACCAGAGTCAGCTACCCAAAGTGGAAGTGACAGCTGTGCAGACTAATTAGTCGAGTTCATCCGGGGAAATCGCAGACTACCACGACCACGGGTGGACGGGGAGCATGGTCATTATTATGTGTGGCTGTGCATGCAGCGAAGACAATTCCTGCCGGCCGAGCTCCGAGTACGGTGAATGGCTTCCCACCCAGATGTACCTTTTTTCATGCGAACTGCTGCAGGGCAGTGAGTACAGAGGCTCAGTTTCTGGAAGTGCCTTGTGGCCAGCATCGACTTTACTTTACTATGATAAATAGCGATCTTGTGCGGCCATGGATGATCAGGCACCTCTACCAAGTGCAATTCAAGAAGCATTCGTGTCATCCTCGAGCCGGAGCTGCGAGTTCCAGAGTTGAGCTAGGATTACTCGGCCGGACTGCACTTTTTGCGCATTGCGGCCACGAAGGCAGCAAAAGATAGAAGACACACACGGGGCGTCTGGAAACTGAGAGCTTCGACACGTTGAAGAGTGGGCGAAGTCAGCGCGATCCTTAAAGCACCAAATCGAGATGGTATAGACTGTTTGTACATGTGTGTGCTTAGCCAATAAGATCGTCGTAAGAATTCGTGCATGTCGTACACGCAGCAAGTCTGCCAACAGAGACTCTATGCCTCTAGCATGCTCGCTGAAATCTCTAGCTCAAGGCATTTCCGCTTCACGCTTATCGAGGTCTACGTCACACATAGGCTTGAAGGTAGCTGCCCCGTGTTCCTGAGTAAGTCTGGAGCAGCCCCAAACCAAGTCCATTTCAACCCTCGTTCTGCCATGAAGCCATCCCGACCAACCCAAATTGAACACACAACTTCCTGAAAGCTTTGCTTACGATTTCTTGGCCTTCCCCTCCCTTTCCCCGGCTCCAAAGGCGAAGGGTTGCGATCGCCACGTGCCTGAGAAGACCAGATGCGAAGTCACTTTCGCCACCCACCTTTGCAGCTGCATCAGGCTTGCTCAGGGCACGAGCGCTCTTCGTGGTTCTTCATTGTGCTGTAGGGCAGCTCATCAAATTTAAAAGCATTGCTTCAGTTTTCAGTTGGGCGTGGGCCGCGAGTCCAGATGTTGGATCTTGTTCCCTCGTCGAAAGTCGACAAGCCTCAAAGTTCAAACCATGCAGAGGCTGCTGCGAGTTCTTTGTTCTTGTAGACGACTTCCTAGGCCATTCAACACATCCGGGAACTATATGGCACGACACGCCTCCAGATCCCATTTGTCGTCCATAAGCCGAACCCCAAAACCAGGCGGTGCTGCTGGAGACGTTGTGCCTCAGACGGAAAAGGCAATGTGCGGAGCTGGGCAATATGGCAGGATATGGCAGGGCCTTCAGCCCCTCTTGATTGCAAAGCTCGTTTCAGTCGCATTTCGGTGTTTTGATTCTTTTTGTTTCACTATCATCCCAGGGTACGTGCTGTCAGGTTAAGGACCCAAACATTCGTCCTAGCGCAGACTGGCTAGATAGTAGGAGAGTGCGGGTACGAGAGCAGATTTTGTGATCTTGCGGTTGAGGCTTGAAGTTCAGGCGGTGAAGAGGTCCAAGGTCCTGATGAGCAATGGTTCAGTCATTGAAGTATCAAGGGTCATAGCACAGGCAGAGCAATGGCCTGGGAACAGGTGCCTGAAGACTGTCTCCCTTCAAGCCATTTTGGCTTTTAGCCCGTTGTCTGCGAGCGGCTGTTGCACAGATGTCGTCGCGCATGCCTCAAAGCAGATTCCAGGTGAGGGGTCACAATGGCCACGCCATGACTTCCCCAGCCCCCATCTTCGTTCCTATTTCATTCCTGAAGCGTGGTGGCTTTCGTTTTTGAGAGCCTGAAGCGTGGCAAAACCCACACACAAAGATGGCCGTCGCCATGGCCATTCTTCCATGACACCCTGGACGCCATCAGCTTGGACGCGGTCCACTTGAGGAGGCCCGAGGGTTTGAGGGGAGACCGAAAGCCTGGATGGGCGTCCGAAGGCAACCTTCGGAGTCACCAGGCAGACGCAAAATTCGGTCAATTACTTTCAGCATGTCTTCCTTGTTTTCTTTTGATGTGGTTTCGGCCGATCAGTTCACGCGTGCAGATTTTGGCCTGGGTGCAGCGATGGCAACAGTTGGTTCTTGATCTTGGCGGTGGATCTGTCATGTGACGTTTCACTTTATTGTATCTGTTGAAGCAGCCGTAAATCCGCAAGGTCGAATATGCATTGATGTATGTGCAAGGTGCCCCTTCCGAGTTTTGCAATCCACTCCATACCCCAAAGTACAAGAAATCCTCAGCCCCAAAACGCGTCACAATCCCCAAACCTGACCCCTGAAGCCCTGATCTTCTGCTCGCGCCAAAGCGCGCAGGCTCTGGCATGGTCCAGCTTTGCCAGCAGCATCTTCTCTTGGGCTTGCCCGTGGCCGCTTCGGGAGCAGAGATGTTAACTTCCCTTTTTTCAGTTTTTTTAGGACCCTATACTTTCAACAGCAGCACACATACAGGGTAGGAGAGGCTACCGTCTATGGTTTTACTTCGGCTACGATTGTCCTTGCTAGCGTTGGTGTTTTCATCGTCATGATTCTTGTGATAGTTTTGGTGACTGTTGCGATTAACACTAGGGTGTGCACCGGTTTTCGGGTTGGCAGAAGTCACTGAGCTCTTGTGTTTAAGCTAGCCATGCGCTCAGAATGGATACAATGGGGACCCGGCTTCACAGTACTTCGCGGGTTGAGATCATGCTCTACTGGTGGAACCGCTGACAACTCATGTTGCCAAGCTGGGTATGGTGCTTCCAGACGCTCGCTGGGACACCAAGTCAACGTTCTACCAACACCGCTTCAATTCTCAGCAAACCAATGTTTGGCTTTCGTTCTTTGTCCTTGCCGTGTGACCCGGAGTTCACATGCAAAGACTGAAGACGTTCCTTGCGTGTGCCCGACGGCCATCTACACTGTGAATCTACATCCCTGGTGCTGGCATGTAGTATGCTTGGTTCGACTCTTCCACGTCCTGTAAGTTTCAGGCTGTAGAGCCACGAAAGTGCCAGAGCGCAGACGATAGTTCGAGGCAACTCTACAAGACGAGGATCGCATTGGACAGGGATAGTTTTGGTACTTGGTGATTTCGGTCCAGACAAACCGAAGCCCCGGATCCCCCAAGAGAGACTTTGTGTCCACCAACCCAGGCCCGAACTCTGAAACCCGCGGACTTGCATATCCCTGCATTTAAAAATTTAACCGGGCACTATGAACGATCCAACTTCGCCTTTGCATGAGGTGCTCGGCGCTTGCCTGCACTTGAGCTTGGCTGCCCGCGCTTCTTCCTGGGAGGCAACCATGCTCTAGACCTTGCAACATTCGCCTGGCTGTGACTAGTTGTGAGTGCTGAAACCCTTTTCACTGATCCCGACACCCTGTGTACCCCATACCTTCTGGGGCTTTTCAGATTTAGTCACGAGGCACTACGGATTCGGGGTTTGGGTTGGCGAACCCGCTTAGGACCCGGAATTGCTAAGCGGAAAAATCACATGAAGGCTGGGATGTTTCATTCTTATTGTCTGTGTCGCTCTCCATGTTTATCAGTCTATGATGTTTTCGGCGGTCACTATGTGTTTAGATTGCAGAACTTTGCAACGACATTGCCGTTGTTCGAGCTGCTTGTTGAAACTTATCAGTCCCTAGTTCTTCTGGTGACCTAGTCTGTTGGTTTGGTGTCAGCCATAGCTGGTATCATTGCTGCGAGAAGGTTTTGCAATGTGTGGACGTCGGTTGGCCTGGCAGTTTTTTATGAAGCAAGGCATGGGCGGGACTGACTAGGCCCACATGCATCTTCTTCTTGGTCGTGTGAGTCTCAAACCGAGGAGTTGCGAAGCTCCATGCCATCATAGATTTTTCTGACTGGTCGATATTGGATTGTTAGGGTACCGGATTTGACCTTGAAGGTATCAACGTGCACAGCCGCGTGTTTTGGTCAGATGGAAGCTGTGAGGGTTAAGATTTCACTGCCCTCAACCCCGTGATGTTTCAGATGGGTGGAAAGATATCAGCAATCGTTTTTAGGGGTGTCGGTGCTCAAACCGTTGGACCTTGACCCAAACCATCAAGAAGCATCGTGAAGTCGGGCTCGGCGAGCTTTCAGAGACTCTCAAGAACACGTGCAGAGTATCGGGGGTGGCGCTTTTGTTTCATGAAGATGGGGCCTCGTTACACCGTTCGTGAAGGTTATGCCCACCCTCATCCAAGTGCCCGTAAACCCGCTGGGGTCCGCAAAAAGATTCTCGAGAGGATGAGCCGCAGCAGGGCCGAGCAAAGCCCAATAGTGACCGGGAGACCTGGGGCGACGCTTGGCATCGCAGGGCATACTCTGAACGAACAGGGAATTCAGGCTCTCACGGTGGTCTGACAAGGCCCTGTAAGGCTTGGCTGGATGTCGATCAGGCTCGGCGAGGTTCTATGGATAGGTTGGATTGGAGCATTGATCTCCCCCCTTCTTCGTACCATGCACCCCGCACAATTTTCAGGGTTGTCCTTCATTTCCGGGGCCTTCAAGCTACCGGCATCGGGCGAGAGAGCCGAAATCTTTGTGCATGTCTAGACAGTCCAGAACTCCGCATTCCAGGACCTCAGCCCTAGAGTCCCGATTGAAACAGATGACCCCCAAAAGCCCCCGGACTGACCCACCGCATGTCTCGGTGCCATCTCACAGCAAATCTGCAGCCCCGCAGTCTCCAACGCATCAGCGGGTTTCCTTGTCGTGAATAGAAGCAGCAAGGGCCGCTTAGCAGTTGCACATAGGGCAAAAAAGACATACGACAGGCATTGGGTCAGCTTCAATTCAGCTGAGGATTTCTTCAGTGACCTGAACGATCTACTGCGGACGCTCAGTCGCCCTAGAGGGTTGGTGCATATGTGGGGGGGGGGGGGGGGTTGCAAACCTGTGTTTGGATAGCAAGACTGAAAAGCTCCCTTGTCTTGTTCCTTCATCAGTGCGTTATGATATAGATATACCCCGCAGAGAATTTCGTGGAAAGGGCTGCTTGCAGATGCTCCGGCCAATATTGCCGCCATGCTTTTCGAAGCCGTTTCGGCGCTTGAATCATTTGCAAGGCTTTGTAGGGTGTAGGGGTATGGCTCGGGAATTCGGGTTTCGACTTCAAGGTACAACGCTTTGCGGCTTGAGGGTTTCAATTCCGGATGCTGCGTCGGTTCAGGCCTCGCGACGTGTGGCCAGGTACCCAACATTGACGCCTGAATATGCATGCCTTTAATCATGATATTAAGATACATTCCGTAGTGAAGCGGCATTAAGCTCTGTGAGCACTGCATGCCAGAGGATCCTGGATTTGGCCTGGTTCGTGGTGGCTGCCACGATCGCCCTGGCTCTCGCGCCCTGGCCGCACTTGGTGCGAAGCCTCAGGCCTCAAGTCGCATGCCCAAAACACAGAACTTTGAGCCCTGAAGTCCGCCCTTCCGCCTCAAAGTGTCGAGTCAATTTCGGAACTCGAAACCAACAGCTGTCGAACGCAAAGCCTCCGAAGCGGCCTTGCCAGGCATGCTGGCAGCCTTCACAGATTGTTGGTGACACCTCGCAGGTCGGTTGCTCGGCTCAGGTTGGAAGCTATTTCTCATTGTCAGCATGTCACGACAAAAAGGTTCGCAGCAGTGCTGCTAGCAATGGCGCGGCCAGGGATCGTGTGTTTGACGGAAGGTTTCTCGCACACGCCTGCGCAGTCCATGGATGTGCAGAGCTAGGCAAATCGCAGGTATGCCGATGAATGGCAGACAGGTAGCTTGAGCGGTTTCCTGCCATCGTCGACAACATCCCCGATGTTCTCGATAAAGGCGACATGCAACCTTGTGAGCTTGTTGTTTACATCACTTGCCTTGTTACACTGATCTCAGCCTGATGAGACCTCCTGCCCTAGAACCCCTGGCTGGCAAGGATCTGACGGCGTCAAATGGACGCCACCGCCATCGTATGCCTTGACCACGATCTTCGCATCCCTCTCCAGCCACGCGGCCGGCATCCTCGGCTTCGTGGGCTTCCAGAAGATCGTGGTGGCCAGGCCAGTGGGAGGTGTGTTTCTGGAAGCGGGGCAGAGCTAACAGCTAACGGCCCGAACAACTCACAATAATTACTCTTCCCTACAGTTCCTGCCATTTTCATCGCAATCCAAAAAGCTTTTCACAGCCCTAGTAAGATAGTAATTGTCCAGGCCTTTATTCTTCATTGCATAATTAGCCCGTCTGTGTGGCTCCTTGCCAGGATCGTGTCCACAAGCCAGCCGAGGGCCAACTGGTCGGCGCCCAATTTCCTCCTCCTCACCAGCATCGCCATTTCCATCACTGCGATTTTTTCTAGCCTCGTGCGCCTGGTCTTAATCGAAAGCTCGCTTTCGTTTTTCCTTGGTTGCTGCAGGTTAGGGTGACAGCAACATTCATTGTTCTCGAACTGCCACCATGTCACCCTATCTTTGCAACATCATCAGCCTCTACCCACGCAGGTTTATGGGCGTGGACTACTTGCGCCGCCTTGCCATCGACAGTGCACGGAGCCGAGGATACCGGCTGGTTGTTCTGCGTGGCAAGCTGGAGCGTACAGGCCGGGGAGGTTTTGGGCATAGCAGCGCAAGGTTATACAGGTGCCTCCTGATTACGAAGAGACTATAGTTCAGTAGCTGCAAGAACAAGCTCGTGCAAATGGCTGGTGCGTCGTGCGTTTGAGTTAAATGCTCAGGTCATACGGGTCTGTTCGATGTTGCATAGGCGGATGACGAGCTTTTGTGTAAGTAGCGTCCGACGCTCGAGGTTCCGGAGCCATGAATATATTGTGAGTGTGTGTGTGTGTGGTTTGCATCATCCTCACAGTCTAGGTAAGAACGGTGTAAGCCGTCTTGACTAGAAGCGCCGGCATGTTCGACCTCCTAACGTGATTCATTGCCGCGTGTGTTGCTAGTTGCTTAGCTTAATACGACTATGGGTTCTAGTCCTGCTTCTATCCGTGGCATCAACGACATCATCTGGTTCGTACTGTTTTGCCGTTTAACTATCTATGCACTTCTTGTATCTTGCGTTTGTTTTTGGGCCACCTTTGTTTTGCATGTCGTTTTGCATTATCAACACCCTCAGCCAGAGATGCCCCAACAGGAGACCGAGTTGGTACGCTGTCTCGGAGCCATAGACCCCTGGCCCAGCACCTCCACTCGCACTGCTCACTAGCAAACCCGCCAGACTTCTGACCTTGAGACGTCTTCTCCGCTCCACGCAAACAGTGCATTGAGCTCGGACGTGCTAGGCTACAGGGATGCTGGATGGAACCACAAAACGTGGACTTTCTACAGAGGGCCAAAGACCAGACGTTTCCTATGGATCGACACCCATGAAGCAACAAGAGACCTTCGCACACGACCTGGCTGCGTTCTTGTTATATAGATGCGCGGAGTTGAGATACAGGGATTCCTGAAGCGACTTGCCGTAACAGGACTCGGGATGGCGTTGATCATGTTGACCTTTGTGCTGATCGTACTGCCACTGGCCATTGTTACAGGCGTAGCTTAAAGGTTTGAGGGTGGGCTGGTCTGCTGACAAGTCATGCGATGCGCAGGTCAGGGCTGCAATGGGCTCCTGTCATCTCTGCAACAGAAGTTGTCTTGCGTCCCTATTCCAAGTATCTGTAAGACTGAAACAGAGACAAGTGGCTTGGTTCATGAACCATGAGGTACATGCTCGTCATTTACATGGAGACACAGAACTCGAAGAAACAGGACTTGCATGGTTGGGGTTCCTCGAATAGCTCTCTGAATGTACCCTTGAAGTATAAAGGGATCCAAACTATGACTCCGGCGGTGTGAGAGGGGAGAATGAGTATGATCCAGATCACGACCACCCAGAACATCTGCAGTTTGCATGCTCCATGTGTATGACTCTCCATCAGCCTCGTGAACCACTCCAAGGCTCCACCCCAAAACCCCAAAGCCGGTAACACACCATAGACTTGAGTTCCCTGAAGTGAAGCCCGCAACCCCAGGCCTACAAGTCCCAACTAAACCCCTTGTAATGTCTTTAACTGAAAGTGCTCTCAAGACGTTCCAGGAGGCATCTTCAGATTCAGCTGCCAACACTTCACGTGACATGAAAGTCTTCTTGGACAAGGCAGCATTTGCGTTGGCCCTGTAATCCCATTAGCACTTCACCTGCCATGCACCCACATTTTCAGCTGAAGCCCCAAGTTTCCCGATGAAGAAGTCGCGCAGACGGAAATGGAAGCGATGTTATCTCTCAGCCGCCAGGGTCCGCAAGTAGAAGATGAACCCACTGTGTTGACAGACTGACATGTTCTACTAGAAAGCCTGCGCAAACCCAACAACAAGAATTTATGACAAGCCTCCATTGGTCCATGTAGAGGCTTACAGCTGTGCCACAGTTCTCCTTTACTTCTTCAACCTGCGCAGCCTGTGCGAATCACCGAAGGCGACGTTCGCGGGTCCGGGGCACAGGGTGTCCGACCCATGATCTAGACATTGGGGATGAGGCTTGAACTTCGGAAGAGAACCGACCCAGACCCACGGCTTCCTGCGAATTTGACGCTTGGGGTTTAGGTTTTCTGATGCGATATTGCCAGCCGATTGCAAGCAGGGTTTCTGATGTGAAACATATGCAGCTCCTCCGGTTTTGTCCCGACCATACGCGAAAATTAGGCCCCACATCTGTGCGACACAGTGCTCATTCTCTAACCCTGCATCCCTAAGCCCCAACTGTCTGAGTGTGAGTGCCGAAGCCCGTCTTTTACTCTTACCTACGAGAAATGATGGTTTGTGGAGGAGGGACAAGGCCACCGTAGGACTTCACCGCGGCGCTCTGGTGTGTTCACTGCGGTGCCCTGGTGGAGGTGCAGTTCCACCAGATCATCGCAGGTGCAGGGGAGGATCTCGGAGAAATCAGCATCTCAAGGAGCTGAAGGGCTTATGTAGGGCGGCTGAGCTTTATGGGTTTCCAGTACAGCGTACACACACACACACACACACACTTTTGAACCCCAAAGGCTTGGTTGTAGGTGCCTTGAACGTCGGAGCAATGAGTTGCAATGCCCGGAGTCGGTAATCATGCTATCAACAGGAAGAACGTGCATGATCTTGATATGCCTTGATGATAGTACAATTGAATCCCTTTTTAAAACCTTGTACCTGGCTTTCCCACACCTGCCGTTTCGTAGTGGCTGCCAAAAATTGCAGCAGCAACCTCTGTTGAAGGACTACTTGAAGAAGTTCTGCGATCGCCGTGATGAAAGGTGGCGGCGGCTTCGTTTATTGAATGTTGGGTCCGGGCCAGTGATGATCATTGCAGCAGTCAGACACAATGCATTAGAAGCTGAGCCGGAGCATCATGTCGCCAGCTGCAGCTCCAAACTGTGACTCCAAACTCGCGCGTGTTGAGCACCTTCAGGTCCACCGTTCGGAGTTGTCTGGCCTGTGTTGCAAACTGCCTGGCCGGGGAGGACCGTCTAAACGCCAAGCGAGGCGTAACACAAATACATACGCGCACACGCATGCAGCACATGCATTTATACAGTTTCATCAAGTACTACATTCACGCGTCGATCTGTCCATCCATGAATCCACCCACCCATCCATCCACCCGTCCGTCTTTGCGCCCGTCAATCCATCCGTTCATCTGTTCATGCATTCATCCATCTGTGTGCGCAAAATCAAATGCCTGCAGGATTCTTGCTGACTTACGCAAAGCCCGCACGAGACTTCAACCATTACGATCTGTAAGATTGGCTTCTTGGCCGCAGGACCTAGGCCTTCTCGTGAAGATGGGCACACGCCGTGCTTTATTCCCGAACCAGCGCTTGGCACCGCTGCTGAATGTCGCAGCCCGCCCTGCACTTATGCGAACCGGACATGGTAGCTTCAGGAAGCTGAGATCTAGTTGTATGGGATTGCCAGCGACATGTACCCGATGATGTGCTCATGATGAGAACTCACCCGTTTGCAGAGACGAGAAATTCCTCTCCACGGCATGTCGCGACCTCGTCGTGCGACGTCACGGGGGACCTTTGACTACCTCTTCTCACGATTTTTCGGAGGACGTCTTGATCGCTTTCAGGACCTCCTGCTGCCACCTGTTTCAGGACATCCTGTTACAAGGCATCCTCCTGGGACTTTCTCAGTATCTCGGATACGCGAGGGTTCAGGACCGACAACAGGTGCGGGCGAGGATGGAGGTCCTTAAGGCGCGCGACATGCGTGCGACATCTGCGAACACTTTGCAGAGTCTTGCGGGCGCTTCGAGAAGAGAAGGTAAACGCACTGCGATTCTTGTCAACCTCGCCAGCGCCCAATCTTGAAACCCAATTCCTGCTGCCTACTGGTAGGTCTCAACTTAGCTTGCCTGGGTCGATTGTATGGTCCTCTCCGGCCGAGGTTGGTATTGTGATGCTCGTCGGCATGTTGCCTGGTATCTTTCAGTTTGCAACCGAGCAGCTCTTCGTCGACCCGCAGATCTTGGCAGTGAGCCCTGGCCGGACCAGAGAGCGGGGAGACGAGTTAAAAGTGCTGGCTGAAGGGCTCCCTGGTTCGAGGTTGCCCGGTTTGTTGAGGTTGCAAGCAGGAGATGTGGCCCCATGTGCAATATTTGGGCATGCGCAGACATGTCAGACTTTTTTGTGCAATGTGTGCGTCCAGCGCAGTGGAGAAATAGTTCGAAAGCTAAGGCGGCCGATCTCGGCAGACTTGTTGCCTGCTTTCGATGCCGAAAGCACGCGCAGCAAACATGTTCTGCTTTTGGGTAGAGATCCTCGTCTTCATGTGAAGACCAAGTCCGCGCAGACCTCGATGCTTGACTGCAAGTGGCACATCAGATCAGCAAACATACTCTCACATTTCGATTGTTTTTGGGATGCCAGGAGTATTGAGATCTGTTGCGACACGGATCCTGACAACTGCACGGGTTACACGCTTGAGCACTCGTTGATTCAATTCGACGAGAAGCCCGCCATCCTCGAGATTCCAGCCGCAGCATCCACGAGGTGCAATCTGACCGCTCGAGGCCGGGCGCTTGATGTGCTCCAGGTTGTAGTTTTGGGCTCCTACAGAACCTGTATGCAGGGCATCGCCAGATGTAATTCCGGGACTTGCGACCCACGTACGACTCCTGATTGAAACAAGGCACTCATGCGAGGGATATATCAGTCTGAGCGGCTGAGCCACGTTTGCAAGAGCCGTTGATTGTTCCTGCTCACTTCGGGAAAATGCTTGCGAGGCCTGAGCAAGAAGTCATTCACAACGCTGGATCTCATGGTGGCGGTGAAGGCCATCAAAAATCTGTGTGACTGTCGCAAGAGCATCTGCAGCTGCTGCAATGGTTACCTGGGCGAACTAGATGCTGAAGGAGAGGAAGCACAGAAAATGTTGGCGACTGATTTCTGCACTCCAGCTCCATGTGGCATTGATAATTCGAACCGGAAACCGGGCCCCGAGTGCAATTGCAGCATTGGATATGTCGGGGACATTGTTTGGGAGGCTGCCAATGTCAGTGGTAGCTGTACTCCTGCTCCGTGCTATGTGGAGGATTCAAACAGGAAACCAGGGCTCGAGTGCCGGTGCAGAGATGGTTTCGCGGGTGAGGTTCATTGGGAGGGATCTGAGGCATCTGGCACATGTTTGCCCGCCACTTGTGGCAGCATTCCATACTCCACTGGCGCGGGGAGGGATTGCAAGTGCATGGACGGCTATGATGGCGAGATAAGATGGAACCGTTCGCAACCTTTCGGGTCATGCGTGGCGGCGGCAGGCTGCGCAGACAAAGTTGCAAATAGTACGGGTGAAGGTTTGCAATGCAAATGCAAAGATGGTTTCGCCGGCAAAATCCTCTGGCAGGGTCCGGTGCCGCAAGGAAGCTGTCAAGCCGCAGAGTGCCGCATAGAGAACTCCAATCTGCAACCAGGCCCAGGCTGCAGATGCAGGGATGGCCACCAAGGTGACATAAACTGGAGCGGAGACCGTGTGACCGGCCGTTGCACGCCTGCACCATGTGCAGTTGCAAACAGCGTTGGTGAGGGATTGCAATGCAAGTGCAAAGATGGCTTCACAGGCAGCATTCGATGGCACGGCTCGGTGCCGCAAGGAAGCTGTCAAGCAGCAGAGTGCCACGTAGAGAACTCCAACGAGCAACCTGGACTCGGCTGCAAATGCAAGGCTGCCTACAAGGGTAACATACGATGGCAAGGGGACCGCGTCGGCGGGGCATGCATGCCGGCTCCCTGCATGATCCCGCACTCCTTGGGGCTGGGCCCAGAGTGTGCCTGCAGAGACGGCTTTGCAGGCGAGATCATTTGGCATGATGATACACCAAGGGGGCAGTGTATTCCCGCATCTTGTGCGAACATTCCGCATACAACGGGTCATGGGATGGAGTGTGCGTGCAGAGATGGCTTTTATGGCACTGTGACATGGTCGGGTGCCAGTGCTTCGGGAGAATGCAAGCCCGCACCCTGCGAAACTTACGGGTCAAACCTGAAGGATGGGCCTGCATGCAGGTGTCTCGAGGGGTTCGATGGCAGCATTGATTGGGACGGACCGCGACTACTCGGCTCGTGCGTGCCCCTGGCGTGCTATGGGCACTATTCCAATCGTCGAGCGGGTCCAGAATGTGGTTGCCTGGATGCATTCAATGGGTCCAGGACCAGGCGGGAAGTGCCCGGTCAAAGGGTTCCAAGCCACTTTTGGGCCGACTGCCATCCTGCAGAATGCAGTATAGAGAACTCGAACATGAGGTCGGGCCCAAGATGTGCTTGCTTGGATGGGTACGAGGGCTCCATTAGGTGGAAAGGTCCATGGGAAAGCGGCGAATGCCTGCCGGCCCCATGCAACATACACAATTCCAATTACGAGCCGGGGAGGGGCTGCAAGTGCCAGGACGGTTTTCTTGGAGCGATTGCATGGACAGGGCCTTTACCCTCTGGGAGCTGCAGGCCCGCTCCCTGCAACATACTAGGCTCCAACTTAGAGCCTGGGCGGGGCTGCCGATGCAAGGACGGCTTCCAAGGCAACATCACTTGGAATGGTTCATCAGCCACCGGGGCCTGTGAGCCCGTGCCTTGTCGTGTTCTCCACTCTGACCACGCCCTGGGCACCTCATGTCGGTGTTTGCAAGGCTTTTATGGCCACATCGTATGGCGTGGCCCTACATTTTCTGGAACGTGTGTGCCCCGGCCGCTGTGTCGGCTTGGAGACGCCTTCCACGTGACCCGACTGTTGGCAGGCCTGCTAGATACCAACAACGACACTTGCCAAGCAGGCCAGTTCATGCTTGTCCATGGCCACACCGAATGGGTAGACGCAAAGTCTCGGCTGAGATGGTCTTCCGCAAAAGCTTTGCCACCTGCCCGGTGCAAGGTGGAATGGCCGGAGGCACATTATGCAGTAAAATTCAATAATCCTGACCCAGAGCACTTTAGCCTGACAAGTTGGTGCGCAGCGACACCTGGGCAGCCACTCTGCTCCTCGCAGATCGTGTATACGGTCACCACTCGCAATACATCTCATTACGCCTGCGATGCATGCAAGACGTTAGAGCCTGCGCTGACAGAGTTTAGAGGCAGGCGCTGTGGATATGACCTCATCAAGTGGGAGTCCTTCACCATTTCTCCCGGATCGTTTGCCGCATGCACGTGCGACCTGTCTTTGAGCTGCAGCGAAGTGCCTGCAGAAGAGCTCCCCAGAGCTTGCATCCACTACGCGGAGCCTGCGGTTCTGAGCCTTGCTCGTAGTGTCGATGAGAATGATGCGGGAAAGGATGTTGTGGGCTTGTATAAGTTCTACGAAGCCGGAGATCTCCTCCTGACCCGCAGTGCAGAGCTCAGCCGTGTGCAGAAGCCTCATTAGCAAGTGGCAGGCGGATGAGTTTAGACTTTTCATAAGTAGCGCGCACCAGCAGCATTCAGCAGCCACTGCGAAACCACGGAAGGGGGGGTCGCTGGGCGCTGGCTTGCGAAAGCCAAGTTGTACCCCGCCCTGTTGTCGATAGGATGTCGAGATTTGGAAACTTCGAGGCAGCAAGTCCACTTGCCAGGTTGTACCGGAGTCGGACAAAAGCGGTGGGGCTTCCGGGGCGTTGTGCCACCCATTTTCCAGAATGCCGGCCTTCAGGAAAGTAGGGATGACCCAGCAGAACAGCTTAGAGTAGTGAGACTGCTTTCACGTCATAGGGTTGTGAGTTGCGAACAGCGCAAGCTGGTTCCGAGGTGCCGATGGCCCCGAGGAGGCTGACAGACTTGGTGCCGAGTCGGCGGATCACACATGGCTCTCTGACGGAGAGAATGTCTTGAGCATAGGGCCTCATAACACTGATCTCTGGGTCGGGCGCACAGCTGGCTCGCACTTCATCCTCAATGGTTCGGTTTTGTCGGCCCCCACGGCGCTTCCTGAGTGGTGGAAAGTGAAGTTCAAGCAGGAAGCGGCTCTGCCCGGCAGCTTCAACACCGACAAACTGGCGGGCTGCGAGTTTGTTTTCAAGACGAACAGCTCGTGCTACAGTGCTCGGTTGGGACAGGGTGTCTGGGTTGCTCCGCCACAGGAAGATCATCAGGAAGACTGTGTTTTTGAGGATGACGCCACTGCGGACAGCAGTATCGCTTACAGGTACAGGTCGTCGGCCTTTGGGCTCCAAACTTACAGGTCGAAGGAAGCGTGCTACCCGACCGCAGCCTTTGAGGAGATTCTCGTGCAGGTGGTGGACGTCGGCATGTCCACTGAGGATTTAAGCTATACGATTTCTAGCTCTCCCTGCCGAACAGTGATTCGCTACATGGTGGATGCCAGGTCAAAGCTGTCCGAATGCCACAGCTTCTTCAAGCCGAGCGCGAGTTGACCACTCAAGGCGCCGGAAGGCTTGACGTACACCTTATATTCGTTACGGAGGACGCGTGAGGAAAAGAGCTGCAGCTTCGACATTTTTTTGGATTCCGGGATCCGTTTCGCATCAGGTACAGTAGTGCTCAACGCCGCAAGACTTGGCAGACTTTTGTAAACTCACATCCTCGCATTGAAGGATTCGTGTCAGGTTGACAGACTAATGAAATCTAGAGGAGCACTTTTCCACTATCATTGGCATGGTCAATGCCAAGACGTTTGAGATCAAGGGCGGAAGACGCACAGTTCGTCAGGTGATATGCCTGCGGTCATGAACCGCCTGGTTGCCAATGCTGAACATCTGCATCGCTGACCACATTCGTCCATATTCCAATCTGTTGAATAACAAGGCCAATGTGGAGAGCGCTGCTACCGTCTCCCTTCTGCCGCTTTTGGCTTCAGTGCGTTGTTTGCGAGTCTGACTGTTGCATAAGTGCTGTCGCTGCGAAGCAATAGGGTGCGTGCTTTCGGGCAGAAACTCATTCAGTTGTCAGTAGGTTCACTCGATGCCTTGTCTCATTCCCTAGCCAGAAAGGGTGGCGTTGGTTGTTGAGATTGTAAACGTGGCAAAGCCCACATTCCTCGTGGGCCGCCGCAGTCCTCCCATGATGCCTTGATGAAGCGTTCCATTTCATTTGAGGAGGCCTTCGTGCTGTGCTTCTGGGTTTAGGTTTAGTTCCTAAGTTAAGGCTTAACAGTTAAGGGTTTTGAGTTTCGAGGATCTCTAACATTGTCTGTCTGAGTTTGATGAACCCTCAATTCCTCAATCAACTACTCCTTGTTTCTGTTCTGGCAGCTGCCTTGACAAATGCTCGTGTCTTCCATGTCGGACCCTGGAGTCTAAGCTTGGACACGGACTGGTCGTCTGGAGGCTTTGGCTAAAAGACACGGGGGTTCAAGAACAAGCTTGGACACGGAGTCTCAAGCACACCCTGAATCCGAAGTGCGTGCAAGCGGCAGGCTCTGGCATGGCTTGGGAGATGCGGCAGCATCTTCTCTTGGGCCTGCCTGCGGCTGCCCGGCGGCACTTGGAGGAGCCCACTGACTTCTGATGTTCGATATCCCTTGTGTTAATGGTTTCAATTCTTCTTCAGCCGAAGTGCTTACTGCTAGAGCAGCTACGTGAATGTTTGTGCCGGTAGAACCTTTTACTGTTCACTGTTTAAATGCTGCTTCTGATGGTTCTTGAACTTTCTTCAGCTTCAATGTTTCGATTTTATATGCTTCTTCTGATGAATCTGATGATATGTGGCAAGACTGCAACACATTCGAGTGGGGTCGAGATATGTTTAGGTGTGACCGGGTCTCCTCGTGCATCTATGCACTGGGTCCAGGCGGGGAGTTTTTGAATTTTGAAATCAACCTTCCGAACCTTTGTTCTGATTGTTCAGGACCTGCAATGCCCAAGAGTGCAGGTTCTAATGCTGACACAAGTTTTCGGGGGGAGTTGAGTCCACAAGGCGGTTGCCGAAAAATAACCAGGCCCCCGGAATTTGGCTCGCATTTCTAGTGAAAAAGTCTTGTGTGTGGCCCCCTCGGCTGCGTGCACTTGGCAAGAGGGCTCCACGACAAATCGGATCCCCTCCCGCCCTGGGAAAAGTAGAGAATCCTGAAACCCAGACCGGAAGCCTCAGACACATGATCCCACAAATCCTTTCCGACAGCTCGAGCTTCACACCCTAAACACAGACCTACTTGTACTTCGTCGTTGCATGAGGTGCTCGGTGTTTGCCTGCACTTGAGCTCCGCTGCCCGCGCCGCTTCCTGGGAGGCAGATGCATAGAAGAGTGGGGCCAGGGGTTTCCTTACCCTATTTTGACTCTACGATGCTCCAAGTTTTGTCGATCTGCGGTTTAGCACGCATGATTGATTGCCTCTTTAATTTCCAGGCTTTCAAATTGTCGTCATTGCCAGTATACCCAAACATCATTGTCAGTACATCCAGGTCCAAGCCGAAGACCGGGCGGGTGTCTGAGCTAGCACCTTCTGTTTCGGTTCGTCTTTCGAAGCCAGGCATGGAGAAGGTTGCCGCAGCAATTCTTGTGCACGGGCTCGTGCATCCCCTGAAACACCGAGTAAAGTGTCTCTTGAGCGATTCCCAACAAGATGCGAAGCACAGGAGGGAATTCTGCTTCTTGCTTCTTTAATGCTATTTTGCAACCTTCCACAGAGAGAGAACCTTCCTGTGGAACGAGCTCATTAAAACCTTTCAAAATTTCGAGTGAAAATCCGATCCACCACCCGATCGGGCCATCCAAAGATTCCTCGAGAGGATGAGCCGCGGCAGGGCGGGCCAAAACCCGACAGCAGCGGAGATACATGGGGTGACGCTTGGCATCGAACAGGGACTCCGCCTTGTTCAAAGAAGGCGGTTTTAGGGGATTTTCAAGTTTCGAAAGGATGTTGGTACGGTTCGGTAATGCAAGGCTCCATGAATTCTTCCTGGGTTTTCGCCTTTGCAACAGAGCTTCGGAAAAGCTTCGCTACAGCTGAGGACTTCTTCAGTGAGCTCGCCGACCTCTTGCGGCACCTCTGGTTGCAAGTAAGGGTATTTGTTTCTGTCGGGGGCTAGGATGGCTTTGGCCTTCTTCTGTAGGAGGACGGGAGAGTTGGTTGAGCAGCGCGAAGGCACCCCCAAGATGGTACTGTACCATTGCTGTTGGGGGCAAGGTTCTCCTGAGCCTGCTGGCTTGAATCGTTTGCAAGGTCTTCGAAGATTTTACCAGCTTCGGGTTCAGAGTTTCAGGGCTGTGTCTGTGTGGGGATGCTTGTGTATTTTGCCTCATGTGCCTCATGCTCCTTCGCTTCGAGGCTCGGCATCTTGAACAAGGTATCCCTAATTGAGCGCCTTCATTGCTTGAAGGGTCGCGGGACGTCGCAAATGAGCTGTGGGTGCATGCGGGAAAAGATCAGCCAGGGTTCTTAAAGCTTTAGTTACTACGTCTATTGAGCCTCCATGCCAGAGGATGCTGGATCTTGTTTGGTTCCTGGTGGCCGCTGCAATCGCCTTGGTTATCGCGGCCTGGCCGCACCTTGATGCCAGGGTGTCCGAAGCTCCAGTCTTGAGGCCAGCGCACGAAACACGGAACTTCGTCCGCTTCGGGCCCTAGAAACCAAAGCCTTGCCAGGCATGCTGGCAGCCTTCGCAGATTGTGGGCGACACCTCGCAGGTCGGTGTCTGGGCTGAGCATGGAAGTCTGCTCTCAGTTTTGAAATCGTCACAGCAGTCGGGCGTTGGGGTTCAGACTTTGGCAAGGCTTGCGACGGCACGAAGAGGGATCGTGTGTTCGGAAGATCGTTGCTTGCACCGCTCCGAGTCACCAATTGCAGTTGCAATTTCTCTTGTCAGTCCTGTTTCGAATCAGTTAGGGCTATTTCCGCCTCTTGTGAACCCGTTGCGCGGGTTCTGTGGTCACAGTCATCCCTGAGCCGTTGAACAACCACAGTTTCTCAACTGCGGAACGGTGGGTGGCAGCAAGAAGCTGATGTTGCCGACCGATCAAGGGCCCCACAGGGTACACAGCACGTGGCAGCAGCCCGAAATCGGAAGAACACGTTGCCCGAACCCCTCGAAGTCGATGAGATGTCGAATCGTGCTTGACACCTTTGGTTGCCAAGATTCTGATGGCGTCAAGTGGACGCCACCGTCATGGTACACCTTGACCACGATCTTCAACTCGCTCTCCAGCCATGCCGCGGGCATCCTCGGCTTCGTGGGCTTCCAGAAGATCGTGGTAGCCAGGCCGGTATTTTCTGAACTTTACCTTATAGAGGTAAGCCTTGAGTCCTGAACACGTCGTATCAGTGCTTATGTAAAGCTTTTCGAAGTGTTATTGGCCCCGTAGTTTATGTTTAAGCCCGCAAAAGCCGTAGTCTGTCCGAAGGCATCTACCCTTGTTGCAAAACGAAGCTGGTCTTTGTTGCTTGCCAGGATCGTGTCCACCAGCCAGCCTAGGGCCAACTGGTCGGCGCCCAACTTCCTCCTCCTCACCAGCATCGCCATCTCCATCACCGCGATTTTTTCTAGCCTCGTGTGCCTGGGTTTGTATTCTTCGAGTTTTCCTGGTTATTGAAATGTTAAAGAAAGGGCAACCACCATGAGGGCTGCATGTCCAGGGCGGGGCCTGAACCTCGACAGTTTCAGCCTTTCAGTTGCGAACTGCCCCGGTTTAACAACTGATAATTCCTGAACCGGCATTTTCACCCTGCCAGTTTATTGGGCGATGTTGTCGTCCTCACCTTCCGCACAACAGGTTTATGGGTGTGGACTACCTACGCCGCCTGGCCATCGACAGCGCGCGGAGTCGGGGATACAGGCTGATTTTCATGCACGGCAAGCTGGAGCGCACAGGCCGGGGAGGTTTGGGTCCAACGACGCGAAGGTGTGTTGCCATTGGTTCACGACAGCTTCAAACGATCGTGAGTGGATGTGCTTTCTGCTTTTGCATGAACGGCTTTTTCTGAACCAAAGGATCATGTTTGCATGGGGTTTGTTACTATGTTTCATGTATCAGTAGAATCCGTCGAGTTGCGAGAACTTGAAATTAAAAGACTACATGGTTGGCATCAATTGCACTATGTCTAGAACAAGCATAGACATGCTATTCCGCACAAGATCGGTTTGTCGGCATTTAGAAGGTCCGAAGAGCTGGCCCAAAACCTAGAATTGAAGCACGGATGGCGAGACACTTGCAGAGCCATCGTCAAGCTCGCACGACCAACCTCTATGCTGGACGCTAGAGTGGTGAGATTAACAAGCACATGCCAGGATGGAACAAGCACATGCCAGGATGGAACCGCGAAGTGAGACAAAACTACTCTTAACGGTGTGGCTGCTTTGGAAATCAGTGTAGCTAAGCACCCCAAACGCGCCAGCAAATCTCCGCAAAGAGCCTGGTGGTGTGGTGTACGGGCTAATTGGGAGCGTTGCAATACAAGTGAGTTCCCTAGCAATGACCTTCCTCCTTGGAGCAGGACTCGGGATGGCGCTGATCCTGATGACCTTCGTGCTGATTGTGCTGCCGCTGGCCGGCACATACTGGGCTAGGCCCAGGGATTTTTCGGTGTCGTGAAAGGGCTCACAGCTAAGACGGCTGGACTGCGAAGCAACCTGGGTGGGCTATTGCAATGGCCGAAATTCATCGGGCGATTTTGTGAGCAGGTAGCCAGTAGTCTGATATCCCCCAATTAATCCGGTAAGTCTACATATCACCTATGTACTAACTAAGTCTCCGGAGTCTCCAAATGATTGAAACGGTGGTCAAAACGAGGTACATGCTCGTCATCTACACCGAGAGACAGAATTCAAAGAAGCAGGACCCGTGCTTGGGTTTCATCGTTGCTCCACGAGAGGCAGAGGCTGGCCGAGGTGTGGGTGTGGAATTTGTTGCTCAGGGTTTCGTATCGCGAATTCCTGGTAAGCATGCTAATGTAGACTCCTGCCGCCTCGCGCAGCCCGTAAGCCGCAAAAAAAAGCTGACTTAAAGTCCACACTATGAAGCTGGCCCTCCAGGAGGCATCTCCAGATTCGGCTGTCAACGACTCGCGTGACATGAAGGTGTTCTTGGACAAGGCCAGGTTTTCATCGCCTCGCAGGTTGAAAGTACATCACTAGCCCTGCGTCGTCGACCATGTTATCAGCCATAGCCTCAGACATCCAGATCGGGCTGAGGTGCGAACTGCACCGACGAAGTTGCTTGCCGCTATTCTGCTATGAAGGGTGCTCATGCAAGATGAGCTCACAGTCTTGATGGACGCCCTAACCGCCGCTAACCCTTGACAAGACCTGCAAGAAACCCGGCGCAAACCCAACAAGAAGTCTTAGCGCCCACAAAGCTCCCGTGTTAGAGGCTTGCAGCTGCGCCACGGTCCTCCTTTACTTTTTCAACCTTCGCAGCCTGTGCGAATCACCAAAGGCCACGTTCGGGATTGCCGTGCAGAGTGTTTGGTTTAGGGTCCCGGGTACAGGGTTTTAGCTAGCATAGGGCTTTGGGGTTCGAGCTTTGGGTTTGAATCCAAGCTCATAGATCGACGCCCCCACTGCTTCAAGCTGAAAACGGCAAGTCCAAAGCCAGGATTCGAGGTTGCATACCTGCTGTACAGGGTAGGTGGGTTCCCAGGACAATGCCCGGATGTCCGGCAGGCTGACGAATTGCCAAGTGCGAAATTTTCATGCTTTTCACGTGGTTTGACAAAAGATTCGGAATGCTTGCGTAGTTTAGCTACCGGCACATGCACAACCCCGCATCAGCCACTTCACTCCCTCAACGCCGAGCAAAACCCTGAACCCTAAACTTCCCTGAACCTTTCACGTGACCTCGTCGAGTGCCAGTGCTGCAAGAACCTTTCACCCATCGAAACCTTGCACCCATGGACCCATAGACATGTGCCGCATATGCCTCATCGTGTTTTCGTCCTGCATAGCAAGGCGGAGGCAACAAAAATAGGTATATGCCTCGCCTGGATTGTCCGACTGCGGTAAGCCATAGCAAACCCCAATTCCAACCCATCAACCCGGAAGCATAAAAGCCGTATACTGGCGGAGGTGCAATTCCACCAGACTGTCGCAAGTGCAGGGGAGGAACTGGAACGGATCAACATCAAGGTGCTTCAGGTTTTGGTTGAAGGGTATCGGGGTTCTTCAGGGTTTGGTGTTGGGATCACGGCTTGCAGTCCGGAGTCTAGGTTTGGGTTTTGTGGCTGGCGCTTTGGAGTGTGAGACCAATGCTTTGAGATGTGATTCGGTCTGCTCATACTGTACTATTCAAATGATTGGCTCCGCTGTTCCTGCTCACTCAGACTGATTGAACCTTGGTGCATTTTCAGCAGTAAATCCAAGAAGCCTCTGACTCTGCTGCAGGACTACTTGACGAAGTTCTGCAGCCGCCGCGATGAAAGGCGGACTGGTCGAACACATCGAAGCTGACATTACAGAAATAGGGCGGCCGTGATACTCGACGACTCCTATACCAGTATAGTGATAAGAGAGCCAGGCAGTAGAGCAACGTCATATGAACAAATGCTGCTGAATCAGATCATCGAACCACCGGCAGCAGTTCTAAGCTGCGGCCACAGAAGTCTTCGTGCCGTTGTTGAACCCCGCACATGCCCTACACCTTAAACCCAGTTGCAAAAGACAGCTGTGTGTAAGTTGCATACCTGGTCTCCTCCTCCTTCATCTCCGAATGATCTTTATGAGAAAATCGGATAAACAAGATATTGCGGGCTTCTTTTATCAATCGCCCTCAGCACCCCTTATCCGAAGACTGCTTCGGAAGGCTAGCTTGAGCACCTTTAGGTCCACTTTCCGGAGCTGCCTGGCGTATCTGGCACATGGCTTGGCCGGGGAGGACCGTCGAGTCCCCAAGAGTCGAAAGCTTCAGAATTACTTTGCAGTGCTAGGGCAGAGACTTGCAGGCGAAAGTAGCCTCCAGCAGCAGTCACAGATGGCGATTCATAGAACCGTATCCCCACGCACACGCATAAAGTCCACGCTACACTCTTGCACGTCATCATATTCAGAGCTGTGCATTCATGTGTCCGTGCGTGCGAGTGGGCACACTGAATCGGAAGCACTCAGCGACTAGACTCAGCAATGAGCCTTTCGTAGTAATGCATATGCAGATGAGACGTGTTTTGAAACTGCGTCGATCTCGTTTAATTTCATGTTCAGAGCAAGACAGGGAAGTTCTCTTAAATTAAGGGGTTCTAGGCAGCAATCGGAGTGTAGTTTGTGATCACGCTGTGTTTGTGCTGAGATCCGTATGACCTCTCACCAACCCTGCCAACACGGTGCAGCACTACACTCCGTACAGACTCCAGCCAGACAGCTTTGTACAACTTCATCACCACTTGAGAACCCCGGTCTGGATCCTGATTATAAGATAATGTAAGATATAAGGTTTCATTGCGCAAACTTGATTCATTGGTCGCACATATGCTTGGCCGCAGGACATTGGCCTCTTGGTCAAGATGGGCACGCGTCGTGCCCTATTCCCGAATCAGCGCTTGGCGCCGCTGTTGAACGTCGCAGCCTGCCTTGCACTTATGTGGGCAATTGACATGCTAGCCTGAAGCGCCTTTTGAACGCTCCCCTATATAGTGAAATCTAGTAAAGAATGCTGTCGTGCTCCTGAAGCATCTGTTCGTCGTTTTGGTTTTGGTCATGCAACCCTCTCTTTGATGGGTGTGGTGTTATGAGCAGAAGGTGAATGCCACGGTACTTCAGGTAGGAGGCTGTGCAATATCTAGATATTGGAGCCTGCCGAACTTGATAAGAGCCACTAGACGGAATGCTGACACTAGCAATGCTTACTGCCTGTTCTCAGTACCGGTACGGGCTACAGTCGAGAGCCTCATCAGGTGCGACGCGTATGCGACACGCGAACCGTTGGCAGTTACTGCGGACGCGTCGACACACAAATGCATGGATTCTGGTCAACTCCTGACCAGAACATCAACCTTTGCACACGAACCGTTCTGCAAAGCATTGGGGAAGCAAATAGGTCGAGCGCGACTCGGATCTCCTAGACAGATCCAGATGAATCCATCGCCAGAGCCTGGCCTGGACGGTAGACGGTGCTCCTACAGGCATGGTAACTTGTAAGCCACTCATTGCCCTTTCTGGCCGTGGGTTTGCGGATATTCGCATTGGCTTGTGTGAAGGTCCTTTCGCTTTAGGTGATGGACTTATGGCAAGCATTGAGGGTGGTGACCAGAGAGCAACATCCTCAAACTCGCTTACCTATCATGATGGTGCGGCCCTAAAATAAACTACCTACACGATTTTGGGGTTATCATAACTATAGTATGATGTAGGATGCTTTTTTTGGTCACATCCGGCCGAGGTTGGTATTGTGATGCTGTTCGGCATGGTTCCAGGCATGCTTCAGTTTGCGACTGAGCAGCTTTTCGTCGACCCAAAGATTCTGGAAGTGAGTCTCGGCCAGATGACTGGGATTGAGTGGAGAACAGACCACTGGATCATTCAATCCAAGTTGAATCAAGAGGTCGAGGGCCAACTGGATTCGATTAAGCCTTAAGGGCTCGGCTTTGAGGTTGCCAGCGCTGGCGGTAAATGTGATTGCGTTGATCATGCATCATTCCCTTCCAAGGAGGGCCATCTCAGCATACTTGTTGCCTGCTTTCGATGCCGAAAGAGAGAGCAAACAGTACGTGCTGCTGTTGGACAAAGATCCGTCTCTCCACGTGAAGACCCGGGCGGCACAAACCTCGATGCTTGGTTTGCAACGGAAAGTAGCATGTGTAGCATGCCGGTGGTAAATCAGCTCATAAGGGTGGCTCTGAGAAGCCGTTTTGATGCAAGGAGTATCGAGATCTGTTGCGAGACGGATTCAGACGACTCAAAGAACTGCACGGCTCACCCCCTTGAGCATTCATTGATTGAATTCGACGAGAAGCCTGCCATCCTCAAGATTCCGGTCGTGGCATCCACAAGGTGCAGTCTCACTGCTCGAGGCCGGAGCCGGTGATTGGGGTGGGGGTTGTGCGGCTGGGTTTATTTGGAAACTGGCTCTTGTATTCTAGGGATTCTAGGGACCCCCCGTCTCTCCCCCATATTTACATTGTTTAAGTTATCTAGTTCGGGCCGGGAATGAAATAATGTAGAGAAATTAGATCCTCGGGAGGAGGGGGTACCGGGGGGTCTGCGGCCCCAGGAATTAAACAATTCAAAGAGTTTAAAGTATGGAGGGGGACTCCGGATTACTTTATTTTTATTGTTTAATTCCCCGGGCACGGGACCCCCCCCCCGACCCCCCCTCCCCAGATTTAAAGGGAATCCTATGTTTTTTAGGTATTTTTTGTTTTTCTTTGGGTATTTTTTTTGTTTTTGGTTTTTGTCTTTTCGGCTTCTGGGCTTTCCTTGCTGGTTTGTTGTCGTCTTTTATTTGGCTTCTGGGCTTTCCTTCCTGGTTTGCTGTCTTGTTGGCCTGCTTCGCGTTAAACCCAGTTGGCTTCCTGGCTTCCTGGCCTGGCTTCCTGACTTCTTCACCTTGGCTTTTTGGCTTCGTGGCTTATCGGATTCCTAGCTTCCTGGGTTCTCGGCTTCTTGGCAAGAAGGGAATGGAACCCTAATTATTTGAGGATTTTTTGTTTTTTTTTCTTGGAATTTGTTTTGTGTTTTTGTGTTTTTTGCTGTCCTCTGCTTTTCTGCTTTCCTCCGCTTTTGTGCTTATCTGCTTCTCTGCTTTTCCGCTTCTCTTGCTTCTCTGCTTTTCTGATTCCTCGCTGCTGCTTCTCTGATTGTCTGCTCTTCCCTTTAGTGGTTTTGTTATTGTTTTTACGTTTGTGCTTTTGCTTTTCTCTGCTTTTGCTGTCCTCTGCTTTTCTGCTGCTCTGCTTTTCTGCTTCTCCGCTTTCCGCTTCTCCTGCTTCTCTGCTTTTCTGCTTCTCTGACTGTCTGCTTCGCTTTTCTTTTTTTAAGTTTTCGCTTGCTGCTCTTCTCTGCTTTGTTGTTTTTTCTTGTTGATTGCTTTCCTCTGCCTTTACTTTCCTTTTGCTTTTCATCTGTTGTACTTCTCTGCTTACCCGCTGTCCTGCTTTAAGGCTTTGCTTTCGTACTATCACTATTAATAGTACTACTACTATTGCTATTACTGTTTCTATTTCTATTACTATTACTTATTACTATTACTATTACTATTACTATTACTATTACTATTACTATTACCATGATTATAGACTAAGAATATCTTCTCCAACATGCAAAAGAAATTCCTTGCGAAATCGCCTTCGAAGCCCTCTTCGAAGGGGGCCCCCTCGTTGCAAATGGGGGGGGGGGGCTGGACCCCCCAAGCCCCGCGCTCGCTTAAGCCGTGAAGAAATGAACAAACACGTCTTTCCCCAACACACGAGAAGGAGAAAGCCACACAAAAACGCTTCAGGGGGTTAAAAGCGAGGAAAATTAAAATAATCATAAAAGAAGCGTCTTCACCGACAGACAAGAAGAAGGCGAAAGCCAGACGTATTCGCTGGGGAGTAAAAAAGCAAGAAGACAAAAAAATGAAAAAGAGTCTCCTTTGTAAAACGAATAAATGGCTAAAAGCGTCTTCTCCAACACACAAGACTGGAGAAACCACACGAAATCGCTTCAGTGGGTAAAAACGAAAAACCAATGTCATTTTTGGAAGATTTACAAATGGAGGGGCGGCTCCGCCCCCGCAACCCCCCCCCCGCTTTGTCTAAACTGCAAGCTTTGCTGCTTGCTCCCTCCCCTTTACCCCCCGCTTTTCTGAACTGGAGACGCTGCTGCTTTCTTTAAGCTCCACTGCAGTTAGGGTAGTAGCAAAAGCAACAACAACAACGACAAAAGCAGTGACACAACAACAAAAGCAGCAACGACAACGACGACAACGACACTAGTAACAATAACAACAACAAGAACAATCATAATAATGACACTAACAACAACAACAACAGCAACAGCAACAGCAACAGCAACAGCAACAGCAACAGCAACAGCAACAGCAACAACAACAACGGCTGAGAATAACGAGAACAGCAACAACGACCACAACGATAACAATGGCAGCAACAACAACAGCAACAGTAATCGTAGTAATAACAAATATTACATATGATAGTAAGTAACAGTAAATCCAATAAATCAATGAATAAAATGGTACAATAATAATGCGGCAATACATAACAATAGAATAATAAGGCTAACAACAGCCACAAGAAGAATAATACCAATAACAATAATAGCAGCAACAACAACCGCAACCACAACCAAGGTAATGTCGGTTTTTCTCAGGACAACAACAACAACTAAGATAATGTAGGCTCAGGTCAGCGAAACCCGGGAAGTAGCACGAAATCCGTCCAACATATCAGGAAAGCTTAAAACTAGCGGTTTTCGGCGGGAGCCGAATTTATGTTTTGGGTCGTATTTTGATTTGGTTGGGGCACTGTATACTTATTGTTATGTTGAGGGTCTAACCTCATGTGAACGTAAACGATGACCATGCTGTGACGATGACGAGGATGATGACAATGATGATGGCAATGATGACGATGATCATGATGATGGTGGCGAAGTGGACGTTATCAGCCCCCACGCCACCCCCAAAACTTCAAGACCAGACCCCGCAAACAGCAAGCACGATTTTGGGCAACCAACCAGACCAACCACATCGGACGTTACAGGTCAGGAACTCCTGGGTATAAACAGCCTTTGGCGGTTTTTAGGCTTAGAACTAGCTGTTTTCGGCGGGGGCAGATTTGTATGGCTTGGGTCGCTCTTTTGTTGCTGGGGCACGGTGGAATTATTGTTGTGTTGAGGGTTTAACCTCATGTGGGGATGATGTGAGTACCGGAGCGTAGAAGATGACCATGCCGTGATGATGACAATGATGATGACAATGATGACGATGATCATGATGATGGTGGCGACATGGACGTTATCAGTCCCCCCCACCCCCACCCCCCAAGACCCCAAGACCAGCTCCCGAAAACAGCAAAAACGCGCGACAGTACTCCATGCGCTAGCTAAAACATGCTGTACCCCGGCACCCTCCGGATGGCCGAGCAAGAATGGAGCTATGTTGTGCAAATTGCAAAAGGCAAAGAGCTTGCATGAGTAGACACGCTTGCAGATGTACATTTAGACAGAAGTCGGCACTTCGTGCAACTTGTAAATTGCATGTAATTTGCTAGAAAAGAAGGAAAACAAAAAGAACACCAGAATAAAAACAAAAAAATGCTTAAATTAATTCTGCAGCCGATTTAAATTGTTTGAATTATTGAATTCCTGGCTTAAATCCTGGAGCCTCCCCCGATATTGAAATTATTTAGATATTGTATTTGGGGCCGGGAATTACATCATTTAAATATTGTAAACCCTGGGGAGGGGGTACCGGGATGTACCGGGGATAATGTAAATCGTTTGAATAGTTTAAAGCCTGGGGAGGGGGTTTCGGGAGGGTCTGGGGCCCCAGGAATTAAGTCATTTAAATATGGGGGGTGCCTCCGGATTCACATTATTCAACACATTTAATTAGGGCCCCGACCCGGCCTCCGACCTCACCAGGATTCAATTTATTCAAACAACTTAAATCCGGGAATCCCTGGTAGGGTAGGTAGGGTACGGTAGGATGGAAAGGGAAGGGAAGGGAAGGGAAGGGAAGGGGATGGAGACATGCGCAACTGCGCTGGAAAGGTCATTGGAAGGGAAGGGTAGGATAGGGTAGGGTAGGGCTTCTCCTACCGTACCCGGCCCCGCCCTACCCTACCCCACCCTACCCTGCCCCACGTTACATAGACGGTAAACAAGGGTTCGATAGCACCAAATTTCGTGAAGCAATCGTTTACCCACATGAAAAACAAGGCGGTTCGATAACACCAACAAATTTGGAAGGAGGGGCCGAACGAAAATTTGGCGCTGTTGAACCGTCCTTGTTCACATACATCGCCAAATTTCCGAAAAGCCTTTGTGTACGTATATGAGAAACAAGGCGGTTCGACAGCATCAACTTTTCGCACATTCCTGACTTGACGCTCCCGGGATCCCCGCGGACCCCCGGACCCCTCCCCAGGCCAGGCAGGCCGAGCCCCCAGGCCCAAACCCAGCCAGCCTCCCCCCCAACCCCCCACGCAGGCAGCCTTCCGGGGTTTCCTGGCAAAGGGGTTTGCCTTTCCCTTTCAAAGTTGTTCCTGGTATAAGGGTTTATGGGTTCGATTTCGGTGTTCGTTTTAGAGTCACCTTCACAGGGGTCGAGGGAAAACCTTGCGAGTTGTGATTGTGGAATCTGCTCTTTGCAAAACCTTAGGGGGAAACCCCGTGCGATTTCTGACTTTGGGACCTGAGCTTTTCACCGTGTTCTGAAAAAGACCTTACGGGTCTTGTGATTTGTGATTTTGGAATTGTTTTTTGCAAAAACCTTTAGGGAGATGCCCCTCGCGATTTATGATTCTGAATCTGTTTCTCACAAAACCTTCAGGTGGACACCCCTTGCGATCTGTGATTGTGGAATCTAGGTTTTAACAAAACCTTTAGAGGGACACACCTTGCGATCTTTGATTTTGGAGTTTGAGTTTTTGAATGAGTGTTTGTAAAACCTGATGATGCTTAGTATAAGCTTTCCTCTAAAGCCTCAGTCGCAAGCGGTGTCCCCTGCATCCTCTTTGGCGATGATCCTGCTTTTGAGCATGAGGAGCTCTGTCCTATCTTGCAGGAGCGAGGTCTCCTGAATCTTCTTGAAACCAAAACGCGATGACGAAGAGGTAAGGGAGCTCTCTGCCAGAAAGAAGAAGTCTTCTCTTAGCAAGAAGAATTCAGAGTGAACTCTCTTCTAGTTTCCGAGGATGAAGTACAGGGACCATTTTCTGCGCATGAAACAGGAAACAAAAACAAAACATGTGACCAACATTTCGGGAACAGCGCGCCGGCAAGTGGAGTGAGGTGGAGGCGGAGCTGTGGATGGAGGGGTGCACTGGTGGAGAGCAGGGGATGACCAGACTTTTCTGATCCTAATTCCTACTGTTCTTGGGGTTAGACCTTTAAGTAATTAAGGAGATATAACCTATTATTCTGTAGGGTTTGGGGATACAGGTAATTCCTCTGACCCCTACCTGGACCCTGAAGAACCTACATTTTTAGGGCTTCCTACCATGAGTCGCTTGTATGAGTCCTTAGAAGGGGTAGGGTCTTCAGGTTCCAGGTAAGCCCTAAGCCAGGATTTCGTGGCATGGGGTGCTTTGTGAATCTCCATCTCAGCTTCGGAGCATGCTCGGGTTCGAGAGATTGGGGAGTTCTCTCTTGATCGCATAGTAGGGAATGGGGTTCCTTTAAAGGGGTCCTTTAAGGCAGGGTTCCTATAAGGGTTATAATATAAGGGTTTAGGGTTCTTAGTAGGCTGTCTGGTTCTTAGTAGGGAATGGGGGAATGGGTTGCGGGGACTAATAGTTGGGATTGTATAGGGACTACTATAGGGATCCATTCCTCCATTCCTTACTAAGGACCAGACAGCAAGCTCTGCATAGCTCGCCAAACACAGGGTATTGGGCTACAGTTCTTGCATGTCCAGGCAAAGAGGTTTGGCGTGGCTGTCAAAATGCGTGCTGCTTCTCAAGTAATTAATGGAAAGCCAGACTTGACATGGTTTCGGCAGCCAAGAATTGACACGGGATGAGATCGAACAGGAAAGGTGTTGGGATGCTGATCTCCTCCTCTACCGAGAGGTAAAGGAGCCCTCTCCTTTCTCGTGATATTTCGATGATTAGGCAGAGAACTCATATTTTGTTTTTGAAGGCCGCGGCCAAAGGCTTTGTCGTCTCTTGCTAGAAGCGACGTCTCTTCACTCTTGTAAAGACTGAGAGGTAATGGACTCTTGTAGAAAGCTCTCGCCTCTTACCAAAGAGCAACTTGGAGGAAGCTCTATTCCTGTTTTAGATCATGGCATAGGACATTCGTCAACCCCTTTTCTGAAGGCTGGGGACGGGGGGGGGGGCGAATTTTTCTTTGCGAAGGTCTAGGAGCTGCATCCTTTCTTCTTGAGCGTAAGCTCTTTTCCATATTTTGACAAGAGGAAGAGGAGATGATCAGGAGTTTTCTGCTTTTCATTGCCAAGACAGAAACCAGGTCTCTTCTTGCCGACTGAGGGGTAAACGGAGCCCTCCTCTTTATCGTGAATTTGGAGAGGCCTGCATGCAATATTGAGATGGGGTCCTTTTCTGTCTCATTACATTGGAGGAAGCTCTCTTCTTGTCGACGATGAGGTAGCGAGCTTTTCTTTTTGGAAGCTGGGGGAGATTTGTCATCTCTTGCTAGGAGCGAGGTCGCTGAAAATCTTCTTAAGACCAAAAGGCGACTTACCAAGAGGTAAAGGGGTCTCTGCTAGAAAGAAGTTTTTTCTCCTACCCAAGAATAATTTGGAGTGAGCTCTTGTTTTAGAGGATGAGGCAGAGGGCTTCTCATTTCCTTTCGAGAGCCGTGGGCAGGGCCAGAAGTCTTTTATCAAAGTCTGGAAGTTTGGAAGAGCTCCATCCTTTTTTCTTGATGGTTCGCTCTCTTCCACGTCTTGAAGAGGAGGAGACGGTCCGGAGCTCTCGCCCTGGACGAAGAGAGAAAGGAGTTCGTTTCTTGTCGACAGAAAGATAAAAAGAGATTTCTTCTTGCAAGGAGCCCTTTTTTTCTCGTGATACTGCAGAGAGCTTTCTTCTTATTTTCGAGAAGAAGGTGGAGAAGTCGTCCTTCCTTTTTGAAGGCCGGGCGGGCGGCTCTGTCGTATCTTGCTAGGAATTTTCACTTTTCTCAAAACAGAGGTGACTTACCAAGAGGTAAAGAAGCTCTCTGCTAGAAAGAAGGTCTATTCTTTTGCCCGAATAACTTGGGGGGGATTCTCGTCTTGTTTTGGAACATGAGGTGGGGGACGTACCTTTTTCTTATGAAAGCTGGCGCGGGACCAGATATTTTGTTCAAGTTAGGGGGAGCGCCACCCATTCTTCTTGAGCGTATACTGTCTTCCATTTTTCGAGAAGGCAAAGGAGATAGTCAGGATATCTTTCCCTTACCAAGAGAAAAAGGATGTCTCTTCATGTCGACCGGGGGGTAAACGGAGCTCTCTTCTTTCTGATGAACTTGGCGGAAGCTCCCGTCTTTTTTCGGTAGGCTGGGGGAACCCTCGTGCTAGGAGTGGGAGCCCTTCGTTCCTCTTCAGATCTCTCTTCTCTTCTATCCCTTGAAGAGGAAGAGAGGATGACAATGAGTTCTTCTCTCTCGTGTTGGGCTGGGTGGCCCCTGGGACCGGGCTGGTGGGGCTGGGTCTGAGCTGGGGGCTGGGCCGGGCTGGTCAGGCTCGGGCTGCGATGGTTGGGCTTAGGTCGGGGTTGGGCTCAAAGTTGCTGGGTTGGGTTCTGTTGACCATATGAATACACCACTCCCAGCTTCCAAATAAACACTATTCAAACCGGCCACGGGGGGTAGTGCTTATGTCTGTATAAGGGTTGTATGTGCACATGTATGTAGTTACCTGCATGTAGGTAGGTATGTATGTATGTATGTAGGTAGATATGTATGTGTTATTGACGCTTGTCTATAAACATATATAATAACATGGTTTTCATGGTGACAGGTATGATTAAGATACAGAAGATGTTATATTAACCTCATATAGCATACTTCTCATATCATAACAAATAATCTTATAAATTACGACGTAAACAAAGGCTGCATTTATTTATGTATTAGGGTTAAATATGCTTTTATATGAAGCTTGCACACATTTACATATACAGTATGGTACGCCCCGGCGGCGTGTATTTTCGTACAGCCACTTTGATGCATTTTGGAAGAGTTATTTAAAAACTCTAAGTACCAGGTTTAAACCAGTCTCTACATATAAGGGTTCCGTACACTGCCATACAACGGGTACAAGGGTTCCATATATGTAAATGTATAAGGGGTTGCATATATATACCAGGGCTGTACACATATATATATATATATATATATACACACATGTAGTTACATATATGTGTATATACATACATGTATATGTGAGGGTTGTAGAAGGCCGTTAGAGGCGTTCTTGTTGAGGTTAGTTCGAGTTGCCCCTGTAGGGATGTATGAGTATGTATGTGTTTGTACATATACATATGTAGCTACATATTACACACCACCAACGCAGTTGCTATATACACATGTAGTATGAATCACTCCTTCAGTAGGGTTGTTGGATGCTTTTGGACAGCAGATTCCCATGTTGGCGCGGGGAAGGCAGCAAAGAACTTCCGCTTAGCGAGACGGGAGGACATGAGAGTAGACAGGACAGGAAAGAGGACACATATGAGGACAGACAGTACTTACATATTCGCGTTGAGTGATACTTACATTGCTATGGAACTTAGTTTAAATTGAGGGATGCAACCTAGTAGATGACACATACCATGTCCTGTTTTTTGTAGCAGAAATCAGGTAACCTCACAAGGACCGAGGATGTCGGAGGCTCACAGGAAACCGTAACGCGGGGGGCCACAGTTGTAACCCTATAGCCTTATGCAAGCACGTGCCACGGGCTTACTGCACCCATAAGCTGGGATAAGACCAGCCTGATAGTCCTTGTTGTCTCCGGGAAACATGCTTGCAAGGCTTGAGCAAGAAGTCATCGAAAACGCTGGATTTGATGGTGGCGGTGAAGGACAGCAGCCATTTTTGCGATTGTCAAAACAATACCTGCAGCTGTTGCAATGGTTACGAGGGCGGACTTGATGCTCAAGGAGGGGAGGTACAGAACATGTTGGCGAAAGACTTCTGCACCCCGGTGCCATGTGCCATTGAGAATTCGAACCGGGAGCCGGGTCCGCTGTGTTACTGCAGCAGTGGCTATGTCGGAGACATCGTCTGGCACGGTGCCAATGTCAGTGGAACTTGCACCCCTGCTCCATGCTATATTGAAAATTCGACCAGGAAGCCGGGGCTCGAGTGCCGGTGCAGAGATGGTTTCGCTGGCGAAGTTCATTGGAACGGATCTGAAGCAGATGGCGAGTGTTTGCCTGCCACCTGCAGCATTGAATATTCCGATGGCATGGGGACGGATTGCAAGTGCATGGATGGCTATGCCGGCAACATAAGCTGGCATCGTTCGCAACCTGATGGAAAATGTGTACCTGCAGCAGGCTGTGAAGACAGTATTGAGAACAGCGTTGGTGAGGGATTGCAATGCAAGTGCAAGAATGGCTTTACCGGCAGCATTCGATGGCACGGCTCGGTGCCGCAAGGAAGCTGTCAAGCAGCAGAGTGCCGCGTATTGAACTCGAACATGCAACCAGGCCTGGGCTGCAGATGCAAGGATGGCTACAAGGGTGACATAAAGTGGGATGAAGACCGTTCGAGCGGCCCTTGTACACCGGCATCCTGCAGAATCTCGAACTCCAACCAACTGCCAGGCCAACAGTGTGCCTGCTCAGAAGGGTATGTCGGCGAGATCACTTGGAAAAACCAAACACCACAGGGTCAGTGTAAGCCGGCATCATGTGCAAACATTCCGAGCACAGCTGGTAGCGGGACGCAGTGTAGGTGCAGAGATGGCTTTGAAGGGACCGTGACTTGGTCGGGTGCCAATGCGTCGGGAGAATGCAAGCCTGCAGCCTGCAGAGTTCTCAACTCGAACAGGAAGGCCGGGCCCGCGTGCAAGTGTCTCGAGGGGTTCGAGGGCGGCGTTCAGTGGCAAGGATCAAAGTCATATGGCTCCTGCAACGCCATGGAGTGCACGGGGCCACATTCCAATATGAAGGCGGGTCCCGACTGTGGGTGCGAAGATGGTTTCTATATCAATGGGCCCAAGGATATAATCGATCTATGGCAGGAAATCGACGAGGGCATTCTGGTTGAAGTTAAAGCCTTTGAGGTCATTTGTCTGCCTGCTCCGTGCAACATAGAGCATTCAAACGGGAAGCCAGGCCTAGACTGCGCTTGCCAGGATGGGTACCAGGGATATGTCAACTGGAATGGTCCAGTTCCCAGCGGTACTTGCGTGGCATCCACATGCAGGATTGTAAACTCGAATAGAAAGGCAGGATTAGAGTGCAAGTGCTCAGACGGTTTTTCTGGCCAAATCACATGGAAGGCCCAATGGGACAGCGGCACATGCGTGCCGGCCCAATGCACCGTTCCCAATTCCAATCGCAAGCCGGGGCAGGACTGCAAGTGTCTGGACGGCTTTGTTGGAGAGATTGTGTGGAAAGACGACGTACCCCATGGGAGCTGCACGCCTGCTCCCTGCAACATTCGGAACTCCAACCTCGAGCCTGGGCCGTTCTGTCGCTGCACGGATGGGTTCCAAGGCGACATCACTTGGGATGGTCCATCAGAGAAAGGGGCCTGTGAGCCCGTGCCATGCCGTGTTCTCCACTCTGATCTCGCACCGGGTCCTGCATGTCGGTGTTTACGTGGCTTTTTTGGTCACATCGTAAGTAGCGGTCCTACAGTATTTGGAACGTGTTCGCCCCGACCGCTGTGTCGGCCTGGAGAAGCCTTCCATGTGACCCGACTGACTAGAGGTCTGGTCGACGCCGGCAACAATACCTGCAGTTCAGGTCAGGAAATGCTTGTCCATGGCCACGCAGAACGGGTACGCAATAAATACACCAAGTTTCGATTGAAATGGACTTCTGCGGATGCTTTGCCGCCGGGCAAGTGCAGCATCGAATGGCCTGAAGCGCGAAATGGAGTGGATTTCGTCAATCCCGATCCAGAACACTTCACGCTTACAAGCTGGTGTGCAGCAACGCCCGGGCAGCCACTTTGCTCTTCGCAGATCGTGTATACGGTCACCACTCGCAATACATCTCATTACGCCTGCGATGCATGCAAGACATCGGAGCATTCCCTGACAGAGTTTAGGGGCAGCCGCTGTGGATATGATCTCATCAAATGGGAGTCGCTGACCATCTCGCCTGCATCTCCTGACGCATGCGCATGCAATCTGTCTTTGAGCTGCAGCGAAATTCCTTCGGAAGAACTCCCCAGATCTTGCATCTACTTCGCGGAGCCTGCTGTTCTCAGCCTTGATTCCAGTCACAAGAATTTGGTTTTCTACGACACCGGAGAGCTCCTTTTGACCTCCAGCGCAGGGCTCAGTCCTTCGCGGATCTTCAGCAGGAGGCAGTGGGATGTATGATGCAGGCTCCGTCAAAATGCAGGCGTAATTTTTGGGCATAAGTTCAGTTCAGGCACCTGAAACAAGTGGATGAGTTTGCAAGTCCGAAACTGGAGTGGTGTTTGTAGTTGTAGCGTCATATAACTCATATAACCGTGCCGGTAGCAGATTCGTTTTCCGGCCGCATCCTTGCTGTTTTTTGCGAAAAAAAGGGAGTCGATGACCGTCAGACAAACCCGGTAGGGCTTCAGGGGTGACCGCAGATTTTTCCGAACGGGGCCTTTGCAACATGAGGCCTGTAAGGATGACACACCACCTCCTCAATCTTGAGAACATGTATACGAGTGTTTGCATATAGTGTGCAGCATCGAACGGGTTGCAAGGTGCTGATAACTTTGACAAGGCTGATGAATACGGTGCCACGTCCGCGGATACGGATCGTACATGGCTCTCCGACGGGAAGAATGTTGTAACAGCGCGGTCTGGCAACGCCAGGTTCTGGCTTGGGCGCGAAGCTGGCTTGCACTTCGTGGACACTGCCTCACACTCACACTTGCGGGCTCGTATGGTTCTTCCAGAGTGGTGGAAGGTGAAGTTCCAGCAGGAAGCTGCTCTGCCGGGCAGCTTCAACACCGACAGATTGGCGGGCTGCGAATTTGTTTTCACATCGGGCAACTTTTGCTACAGCGCTCGACTAGGAGTGAGTGTCTGGGTTGCTCCAGCACGAGGAAATTGTCGATTTCAGGACACCACTGAGGCAGACAGCAGCGTGGCTTACAAGTACAGGTCATCAGCCTTTGGGCTCCAGATTTACAGATCTAATGTGACGTGTTACCCGACGGCAGCCTTCGAGGAGGTTCAGGTGCAGGTGGTCGACGTCGGCATGGTTTCGGAGGATTTCAACTACACGGTTGCTAGCTCTCCCTGCCGAACAACGATACGCTACATGACAGATGCTAGGGCAAAGCTCCCCGAATGCCGCGGTTTTTTCGAGAATAGGCGAAGGCGCAGCCGAAGGCGCAGCCACAGGCGCAGCCGAAGGCTGCAGGCAGCATAGTTGCCGAGAGGGTGCTGGTTGACCACGGAAGACTTGGCACGGCTTGATGGAAGCCCAATGACGTGCGTTCCGAGGAATACGCTCTGGCGTACCAGTTGCGCTTGCTTGCCATGCGCGGAGTCGCATCACCTGCGGGTCTGGATTCAGACTGCTCATGCGAGCCATCTTTGCACTCTTTGTTTCTTCGTCCCGAAGCTTTAGTCGCAGGCCCATCCATGTAGCGCTTTCATGTGACATGCGCGACCCTGCTCTTCTGGCTTGGGCTTTGGCGATCCACGCGGCAGCGATTCAGGAGTCCGAGATGGTACGGGCTTGGACCTTCAAGACAGACCGTAAACGCAATGGCCTATGCAGCCTAAGCACATCGAACTTAGTACTTGAACTTGAGAGGCCCCGAATTCGTGCTCCGCGCCCTCAGGCCCTACAAGGTCTTACAAAATGCAACCTGCAGGAGCATCATGCTGCCGTCGACGTAGGCAGCCAGGTTCGCCCCGAAGTCCAAGGTGGGAGGGCAACCTATGCGTTTAGCACAGGACGTCGTAGCTTGAAAGCTTTTTGGACTTGTAGTGACTGGCTCAAGAAGACGCAGCAGACCGCCTGTCTGCGGTACTTGCGAGTTCCTTCTGTTGCAGGTTTTTCGAGTAGTAAAAGGCAGCAGCCAGTGCTACAAGTTGCAAACGAGCACAACTTCGAGAGCTGAGCAAAGATGTGCTCTGGCAGGGAGCAGGCACGCTGGCGTTGCCGTGCTGGCCGACGACCACTTTCGAGAGAGCCTGGCCTCGGTATGGAAGATTTCAGAGGTACAATAGAATGCACGATAAGCTATAACATACACAAATATAATGTAATCAAGCACAATCAACAAGATACCCTAGTGTAGTGTAGTATATCTGACTCGGGGAAGCCGCCGACGGATTTTGTGTTGCAGCCTGAACTGGTTCACGTGTAGCGGTCACGTACTTGCAGCAAAACTCAAGTCCTAAGCCCTGAACCCGCAACCTGAAATCAAAAGTTTGGAAAATTGTGCTAACCCAAAGCTAAGCCTTAGTCCGAGGAGATATGCCAACCAGATTCAGAGCGTTCGCTGCTATGCGAGGGCGCAAGGCCAGCTCCGAACTGTCGGCTCTCTCATCCTGAAGCGTGCTTTATGCGTTCAAGGGAAAGCTAAGTAGGGGGTGGTTGGAGTAGCAGGTCCAACTCCAATTAGTGAAGAGAAAGGAAGTGATAGCCGCTCTTGAGGCTGCTTATGAAGGAACATTTGAGGTGTTGCAGAGTTTTGCCGAAGCCGTCGGGATACTTTAATATGTGGCGCGTTAAAGTTTAAGCATGCTTGAGCGGGCCTGGAAGAACACTCGAGGTTCGGAGACGTGTGGACAGACTGTAGGACTGCAGGCTAGGCCGCATTGTGGGGATGATTTTTTGCCGTAACCGCCTTGGTTCAACTTGAAACGGCTAACTTTGGTGCTTCTATCTGCACTTTCTGAGAATGGATGAGCTGAGGGGATTTTGTTGCCCGTCAGGCTATGACCTTTGGCTGCTCAGCGGTGGCGAGTTCACGGCATGTGCAGAGCATCGGGGCTGCAAGGGTTCGTGGAGACCTACCAGTGCCAGGATGCGTGCAGCAAACCAGATCAAAGCAGTTTATACAGCGAGGATCGAAAAGCGACCTAGCACGAAGTTCCCATTGCCGCTTGCTGGACGTAAACAGATCCACTACGGCTCATAATGGCTTCCACCCGGCTGACAGGGGTCCTTCCGACTCTTGAGCCTGAACCCTTTCCAAACCCCCAAACCCCAACAAAACCTTTTCCCCTAAACGCAAAACCGGAGCTGTAAGCCCTGAACTTTGAGGCTTTGGAAAGCCCAGAATGGCTACTTCTTCCTGAAGCACTGCGCGGCGGCTAGCTTGCTGCAAGCGCAGGAGCCAGGGCCACTCTGCTGGAAGAAGCCAGTTCTGTGGGGTGTCCGGTGACAAAGCTTTTGGGCCAAAGGGGTTCTGGTTGTTCTGGAGAATCTGAGAAGGGTTTTAGAACTTTTTAGTGAGTACTGGTCGGACTATGTAATGAAGCTGCACGATCGATGATTTCCTTGCTTTCCCACGGGAAAGGTGAAAGGCCTTCATTGAACTTGCATGTAGGATCGGACGACCTGGCAAGGATGCTAAATCGGCCGTTATACGGCTAAGGGCTGTAAGCATGCTTGTACAATACGCGTCACAACATGAGCATAGATGGACAACCTCAACAAAGGTGATCAAGTCTTTTTCTTTCACTTGCGTGGCTAACTCCCAAGGCCTCCAAGGATGCCATCACGTTCACGGTCAACCAGGTACATCCTAAATTAGGGTGCTTAGCTCCGCAGCCATCCCCCAAATTCGGCAAGCACTGAACTCAAGTCAACAACCAGCAAAGGTCCGCTTGCATGGCTGTGTTTTCCATGGCTCTAACTACAGAAGCACAGTAGCTGCAGCCCGAAATCACTCAAAGAAATCAGACAGAAGCACCATCTCAAACTTTGCCACCCCTTCTCGAATCTAAGGTTTGTTAGAGTACGGATTTCTTCGGGGGTTCCACCCAAACCCATATCCCTAAACCCTCCTTTTGTGTGCAACCCTGACGCAGCACTGCATTAGCTAGTTGAGATCCTGTGACCTATGTGGAGCCTTGCCTGCCTGGTGCGAGTGTGAGCGTCGAAACCCTAAACCCCTCACGTCGAAACCCATAGAATTCCATAAAAGCCTTGTTTCAGCGAGGTACAGCCTGGCTGTGCTTGACTCGGATGTCGTGGCGGCCGCATTAGATCGAAGCCTTGACCGGCGTCCTGGCATTTGAGGGCACGGGGTTCAGGGTTCCCTTAAGCTGTCCTGGCGTGACGTTGCAAGCCAGTTGCAACAGGGTTCCCTTAATACAGCGGTTCAGGTTTGGGGTCTCACTGTTTATATAAGGTTTGCGGGTTTCGGATTTGTAGGGCTTTTCTGGATTGGTAGGGTGGCCCTTCGTGCGCCCCGCCTCGAACACGTCCCCGAAGAGCCTGATGGACGCCGGAGGCTTTCGGTTATTTGACTTAATTTCCTTCCAGGAGCAATTATTCCCGAGGCTTAAGCCCTGAACCCAAAACCCTCATTGTCCCAGTTTGTCTGCAGACCTCGCCTGGTATTGCCGAGTGTGAGCGTCAAACGAATCCAAAACCCTACGCTCTTGGTGAGGAGTACTTATTGGGCTTTTGTCCAGGTGGATGCATAGCCGAGCAGACCTGCAGTTCTACGAGCGCCGCTCGGCCAAACTTCCTTTCCGGCGTCATTTTCGGGTAAGTCCCCTAGTCCTTTGGGTGCGGCTTGTGGTCATTAGGTGCTACTGCTCCGGAGCTCTTGCGAAGGAGCTTGTGATGCTTTTAATCGTTGACGCTTTTACTCTAGGATCCTAGGATCATGGCTTCGGGCACTTCTGCTTGCGGAGCTGACCGGCAGCACGCGCCTGAACCTCAAAACGTGAACTCCTCATGCCCGACTGCGAGCGGGGACCTCGCACGAGCGTGAGAGCATAGACCACAAGCTCTGAAATCTGAAGCTCCGACATAGAGGCGTAATTATTTAGTAGCATTCTTAGATTCCCTAATGAAAGTCTATTATACTATAAGAATTTACCGCAGCACCCTCTCCGATTTCTAATGATTAGTAGTATCAGGGTTTGTATATTAATCCCAAACCTTCGGTCTCCCAGGCATCACCGGCGAGGAGGTCATGGCCGGAGCTTTGGATGCAACGTTTGAGCCTTCCTCGGAGTTTCGGGAATATGCAGATCCCAAGTTAATTCAGACAAGGCCCCTCTCCCAGAAAGGGGGCCCTGAGAATAAGAAGCCTAATGCGTTGCCTGGCGCTGCTAGGCCATCCGGATGCATCAGCGGAGGGAGGGAGAGAGAGAGATAGAGAGAGGCACACAGAAACAGTAAATAAGAGTGACAGTGCATTGATTAGGGAATTCGCCTTTGTTTGTGAGTCGACTAGCTGCTTCCCAGACAATTTGGGGGGCGCCGCGAGCGCGAGCGCGGGGGTCGCTCAGTAAGAAGCACTGAGTTTGAAAAGACAAGCAGCTAGAGATTCGTCACTCGTCACCCTATAAATGACCTCCCATGAGCCTTTAGGGCAGGACATGAGTTGAGGGTTTATGGCAAACCTCAGCACCAGATGCTTGATACTTGGGATGGGTCGCAGGTGCAACGGCTGGAGCGGAGTTTCGTAATTTTGGGATCGAAAGGATGAGTAAAGAGAAGCACTACACCCCTGTATATCCCGCCATTGTCGTCTAACCTCCGCCCAAACCTTGTTCCATTAATCTCAGCTTAGATTGCTCGCTTCTGTTTGCTCGTCGAAGTCGTCGATAGCAAGGTGAGGCACTCTGTCTCATGAACCTCGGAATTGACGCTCGCTTGTCGAATCCCAGGCTTTGTCAAGGGAATGGTGAGGTTCTGCCTTGTAGGGTTTAGGCTTGGGCAAACAGGAGTCTTCGGGCTTCGACCTGGCTCTGCCAGGTAACAAAACCACCCCCAAATTCAACAAGTGCCCAGGCAACTACATCGCCAAGAACCGGCCCTGGGTGCGCGCATTCCTTCAGCAGTGGGCCGCTCGAATTGAAACAACAGATTGAAGGTCCGGGTGAAGATTAGACAGCAGTGCCTGAAGATATCGGTGCTGGGGTTGCAACAGGGGCAGTTTAATCTCGGGATGAGGTAGCGACAGGTGTGATTGCCATGAGAAGGTTGCCCTCTAAGCCCTAATCGTGACCTCGAGCTTGACAAATATCACCAGGCCAACCAACATGCCTAGACCTGGAAGTACAGACGTCCGAATCTATTGAGCCTCAAACCAGTCCAGCCTTTACAAGCCCGCTTCACCCCAAAACATCGGTTTTCCACGACAACTTGAAGTCGAAACTGTAAACCTTGTATCCTCGCACCGTGCAGACTGCAAAACTTGAAACCTGAACCCTAATCCGTAAGCCCAC